AGCATTTTACCACTCTGGGTAATATTGAAAATTGAACAGAGCAAATTTATGTTCAAAGTTTGCAAATCTGGATAGAAGTGTAAATCACAAATTGAATTAAACTATGGAGTTCATTCCTAGGAACCAAAGAAATATATACATATACATAAAGCCCACAGGAACATCACTTCAAATTGCCCACCCAATAAATGTATCAAAACTTCCAATTGTCTACCAGAGGTCTTAAGGGAAGCTGAAAACATGAAATATTCGAATCTAAATTGTCAATAGGAATCTCTAGCAATAACATCACTGCATGAAGAACAAATTAGAGTAATAACGAGGGAAATAATAATGAAATGTATTAGTGGGATCAAGAAGTTTCGAGACCAGCATCACATGCTGATTTGGTACCATTCTTCAAATAGTAAAAAAAAGACATTAGCCAAAAGGTGAATAGGGGAAATCTTGACGATTTGATGTTTATACCGGGTGACACAGAATCATGGTATACTCTTCTCCTTTGTTTTTCCACCTATATTACTGGAATTTGGAACATTGAATATGCTCACTAGAGGACACTTATCACATTTTAGGACTTTTTTTCATCCGGTTTTCCTGGAAATGTTATCAACTCTCCCATTCCGTGCTTCACAAGTCTCTTGAAGACTTTTAAGGGTTGCTCGTAAGGGGACAAACGAATGATGAATAAGAACAATTTTAGAACAACAAAAATTTTAGATTATTCGACTTCGAAGTTTGCATATGCTCAATAGGTTTGACGGCGCAATATCCAAACGTCTTTCTCTGTCACACTCATTGAGCTTATGGAAATTTCGAACGCAAAATCTTGAATGTGAGAAAGTGCCCACGCTGATTCGATATTTCAAATTTCAGAAATATAGCTAGAAAAACGAAGGAGAAAAGGGGGTATACCATGAATCTGTGTCACCCGGTATATACAATTTTTTTCTGGCCATATAACTTTGATGGCCGATATTTCAGAAATGATTCATTGTAGTTTGCTGAAGTTTGGCAGCGACGTTTCAATTGAAAAGATTCAAGTTGGTATATTATGAAAAAAAAAATCCAGAACTGGACTTGGTAAACATTCACGTTTTATTGCACGGCAACTTTGACTGATTCAATGAAAAAATATGGAACAAATATGTTCGTTCCAATGAATATTCAATTTCAACCTGGCTGATAACTCTTAACTTTCAACTGTTTTCGTGTAAATTGATTTTTTGTACATTTTTGTTGGATAGAAATTGACAGAAGACAGTATTTTTGGTTTTTTGATGATTCGAAATGTTAGTTTTTGATCGAAATTCTAGAGATATAATTAGTCGTGACTCTATTTTATGAATTTTTATTGAAGTATAGGCCTTGTTTTTTATATTATGATATGACGTGGCGTTTGTTGATAGGTAATCACTGGTAATCGAAATATTCTAGAACACAAGATGCCACTTTATATTTCAAATGCTGAACATGACCAAAATTCAAATGCTGCAATGTTTAATACCATAGATGATTTCCAGTGCCGGCACGAGAGTAAACGTAATGAATATTGATGAAATAGCAAATGCATCCTTATATCCCTTGCAGAAGTGTAACAAGAACAAATGAAGCTTAGTTCACGCGTGATGGCATGACTAATTTTATAAATCACCATTTGTGGGCACGTGAAAATCCTCATGTCGTAATTTTATCAAACAAAAATCTACAGAAAATCAATTCACATGAACCCAGTTGATAGTTAAGAATGAATATATGAATCTCAAGAAGTAATTTCCACAAGTTCATAAATGAATGAAACTGGCAGATAATGAGAAAAAATACTACTTTCCTGGTAATATGCTACGCAGAACATTGAATTACATCCTCCCGAAATCTATGCAACGATTCGTATAGACGAGTAAGATCGCATGTGTTTCTTTCCTAACTGCTGGATTGTGCTTAAATTGTTCAGCATCGCTTGACTACCTACACACTGGTTCAGTGCAGGGATGTCCCCAGATGGTATTCATGACCCCCATCTGGTGCGAACCTAACCCCAACGTACAACACATTCCAGCATTTGATACCCACGAAGCGTTCGGCATCTGCGAGATGGATACGAACGCCACCTGAGTAGAAGGAAATAAATATTCCAAAACAAATCCCCATTTCAGTTAAAATGGGAGTGGCTGGTTGCCCGACTGGCGTAATTTCAACTACAAAAAAGCCAAAATGCTGAAAGTGGATGAAATGCTGAATAAATATACAAATCTCAAAGTCATTTCCACAAAAGTTGAATAATGAACGAAACTGGTAGATAACGAGAGAAAAACAAACAATTTTCCTGCCTATATGCCAGGCAGCACATTGAATTACATCTTCCCGAAATCTATGCAACGATTCGCATAGACAAATAAGATCGCAAGTGTTTCTTTTCTAAATGCTGAAATTGTCCTTGAGTTGTTCCGGAACGCTTGACTACCTACAGGACGGTTTCGAGCTCTCGGCTCTCATCAGTGCAGGGGTGTCTTCAGATGGCATTCATAACTGCCATCTGGTGCGAACCTGACCCATAGTAAACACATTCCAATATATAATACCCATGAGGCGTTCGGCTTCTGCGAGATGGACACGAATGCCACCTGAGTAGAAGGAAAGAAAGGCTCCCAAACAATTCCCCATTTCGAATAAAATGGGAGTGGCTGATTGCCCGACTGTCCTAATTTCAACTACGAAAAAGCCAGTCTCGTTAATTGATGAACTTCTGTGGAAATGACTTTGAGATTTGTATATGGATTTATTTAACATTTTATTCCACTTTGAGCATTTTGGCTTTTTCGTAGTTGAAAGTTGATAGTTATCAGCAAGTTCGAAAAAGAAAATTCATTGGATTGATTTCGTTCCATATTTTTTTATTGCCTTGCCGTGCAAATTATTGAAGAGCAGTTTTGAAAAAAGTGATTTTTTTTATAATATGTCATCTTCAAAAGTTTCAATAGAGAAACGTCGCTGCCGAATTTCAGCAAATTACGATGATGTCATTTCTGAAATATCGCCGATTTGAGAGATAATGTCGATTCGCAATACCAGAGAATTTTCATTTTTCATGCTCTCCTTTTGGAAGTTCAACAGATATAATTCAATGTTCGACGTGGCAAATAGCGAGGATAGTAATTGCTTGCTGTTGAATATTCAGAATGATATTATGTGCATATACATACATATGAAGGAGAATGCAAATTTTCAACCGCAGAATAACCAACCCAAGAAAGTAGTTGTTTTCTGTTGAATAGACCGAGAAAGAATTGATATTTTCATCACATAGAGAATGCGAATTCTCAATGTGTTTCTTTATATATATATTCAATTTTTTATGTACATAATTTTATCTCAGAATAATCCTTTTCAATACTTACCCAGACTTGTTCAATTTTGCAAAACAAAACGAGAGAACCTTCAGCCATGTGTGTTCTGTGTAGGCTTTGTTACTGACTCCATGCGCCACTGTTAATTGGAACGCAACAGTGAATCGTACGGAATTATTTCCTGCCGTGGCTACCAAAAGTAGAATTTATAACTTGTTTTTTAAATAAATATTCTCTGCTCTGTCGGGAATGCGAATCATTTCTATGTAAAATGTGGAAATATTTTCATTGGTTGTAAAGCAATAAAACGAGCTACGGAATGAGTGCTGAAAACCAAACTGGAATGCACAAAAAGCTCAGGAGGCTGAGGTGTAGCTGGTGACAGGACCAGCCTCCAAAAAAAAGCAATAAAACACTGATAGCGCTTATAAGACTTTTTTCTATAAACATGTGTCCAGAAACGCAAAAAAGTGGTATTTTTGACCTGAAAAATAAGTCCCTGAAATCTTGATATTGAATTTTGAAACACCCTGTATGAAGACCAATTATTGATTGGCTCATAAAAAAAACTGGCCCAATGTTAGTTGCATTCATCCAAATAGCTGCCACTTAGTTAGCTCTGGCTATTCATTCCTTTTTCAACATGACTGGATTTCCGGAAGATTAACATCGGTAGGTATAGGTGGGCGGTGGGCGATATTGAAAACCAAATATCGATAATTGAAATATATGGAATATATCGATTTATCAAATATATGATACACAGGGTGTTTCGAAATTTGACCGTTAGCACTCGTGATTTCATCTCTGACATGAAATTCATTCCGGAAATTTTATCCATTGGTGCGCAACAGGGGGTTGTGGTAATTATTCCTCCCATAATTTCTACGCCACTGATGAGGTGTCGATTATTTATAATGTTTCGGATTCATTGTTCAATTTTGTTCAAAAAATGCATCACCTCCAACTGAAATGGGAGTTTGCATAGTAATTTTTCATCATTCTCAATAGTAGTAAGTTACAAAAATGTTTTTTCTCCCTGTATGAAATAACTATTTCTGCTTAGCTACAGAATGAGATCCAAATTATATCTAATCTACTCCGTACCAGAAAAATATTTTTGAAATTTTCTTCTACTGAAAATAATGAAAAATCACTATGCATCTATCTCGAAAACCTGTTCATTGTAGCTCAATTGAAGGTGATGCATTTTTTTAACAAAATTGAACAATGAATTCGAGAAATTGGAAATAATGTAGATTTCATTAGTGGTATAGAGAATATGGGAGAAGAAGTTACCACAACCCCTTGTAGCGCATTACTGGATGAAATGTCCGCAATGACTGGTCAAAAAATTACCCATTCAAAGATAAAACCATATACCGGATTTGAATGCTGAATATTCAAGCATTCTGGAGTAATATGCAAAATCTCTCCTCTTCATATACCATTTACCTATACCAAATCTCATTTGAATACACCTCATAGTCCAGCGAAATACCCAATCAAAATCAACCTGATTATTGTTCACTGGAAAAGTCTTGTCATTTATCGGACACCAGTCCCATTCAGCATCATTAGTTGAACGGCTAACAACTTTTTCAAAATTTTGTTAGCAATGATATAAGTTTATTCCGAATTGAATTGTTTCAGGTCGATGTAGCAGTTGTCAGACTAGTACCATTGGAATATCCTATGTCAGATGTGCCATTCAAGATGATAGAAAAAGTACTCAGGAATATATTCAACATGAGACAAAAATATTGCATCAGAGGAACTGAAAGGTTGTTTCCTGAAGATACAAGAGAATATCTAGGTAATTATTAAACGAGATCCGACTGCAAGATTACTACGTTCATCAAGTATTCACTGAAAATCAAATTTTAACTTATATTCATGAGTAGGAGAATATATTTTTACCGGGTTGCCTATCGCCGCACGTATTTTAAATTAAAATAATGGCAATTCATCATTTGATGATGACGTTGTTTTAAAGTGCGTAATACACAGCATTGTTTTTACTGTTTTTAATGTAAAGCATATTTGAAAAAAAAATAAGGTGCCTTATGTGTCATAAAGGCTATAATGTGCTCGACTACTATGATGCAACATTCTAAAAGTGATTATTAAAGTAATTGTTTGGCCGCATAAATAGTTATTTAACCAACTAGTGTAATCACCTTATAATATGGATATGGAGTTGGTTACAAACATTTCTGTCGCCTATATTTCTCATTTCTCCTGCAATGAAGAAAACTTCGCGAATTCATCATTCATCCGGAAACTACTAAGAATCACCCAGTAGCCTCCTCACTGACATTAGTGACATTTGACATTTGTCGAAATAATCAACATAGAAAATGAATACCTTGTGTTAGGAAACAGGGATATAAACCGATAATTCACTGGAAAATTGTTGGAGAGATGGTCTGAAATTCATGTCAATATACCGGGTGTCTCTGAACTTTTCCAACCGCTAATGTCGAAAGAAAAGGCGAGAATCAAACCAAAAAAAGGTGATAATTGAAGACTGTACTATCCAATTTTAATGACTTTGAACTACCCCGAAGATCTCTCTCATCCCAAACTAATATCACCTCATCAATCAGTTGTCAAACAACCTAGCGTGCTATGTTTTTAATTCATAAGCATTTCAGACGCGTGTTGAATCCCTGTCTCAGCGCTTGGAATCAGACTCAACTATGCTATGTACTATGTATATCATACTGTGCTTCTGGGAACCATTTCGAATGTATGAACTGTAGATCCCTCATCACTATAACTCGCACAAGTCCATCGAGGGATTGGTTGGTGATACCAAACTCACAAATTCTCTGACATCATTGGAATGCCGCAGAAAATTTGACGACCTTTCAATTTTCTATAAATAATTCCACGAAAAATGTTCTCCAGAAATATTGGCTATCATTCCATCACTAGCAATACTGGTTAAACGAACTTGACTGGTTTAGTCAGTACATTATTTTGTCGTCTACCACGATATATGTCGAATAACTCCAACAACAACTTATAACCTCCAAAAATTCCAACATCAACCTTCTTTACCTGTTTGCTCTATGTACGCAAGATGGTCCAAAAATATTCCCTTCAGTGCGCTTCAAATGATGGAAATGAATAAGTTATTTTACCTACGGCCACTATAGCAAGTAGGCAAGAACACACGAGATACAGCCTCAGTAAGTAGCTCTTCACACACAGTAAGCACATCGCACAGTTTTCGTATATTCCGCCAGTCATGATCGCGTAATTGCCGATCACCGTCAACAGCGGATGACATAACTATCAAGAATTATAATTCAGACTGTTTGTCCAAACTTTTTGATGTACTATATGGCAGTAGGTAAAGTAAAAGTATGTAATGCGTGTTGTAAAGTAACTTTTCCATTCGTGCGTTATATGCTTTTTACAACACATATTACGTAATATACTAATATTTTTTAGGAATCGACCGATGTACAGTGTGTCCCACTTATCATGCTCACCATGGGTATCTTTTTAACGGTGAGAGATACGAGGTCGGTTAAATGACACCAAATGTGGAGTTTGTCAAGGCCAACTATAATGTGATGAAATATTTTGATAAAATCTATTCGTTTTTGTTTTATACGCAAAAAACAGATTTTGATCATTTTCATGTCTCCTTCGTAACTTCTTTATTTATGAAAATATTCAAATAGGAATTTCACATTCTCATGGCAGTCTTTCGAAGTGATTTTGAACAAAATATGAAATTCATACCAACTCTTCTAGAATTTGAGATATCAGCACCAACTTTAGTTTTTCAAATGTAGGTCATAGCTCACTATGACTTAGTTACAAATAACTTTTTTTTCTCTTACAGATGATATGTCGCAGTAATAGTTTTGTGGAGTTATCGTCATTTATACAAAACAAAAAATTATTTGGGAGCCGCCATCTTGAATTTATAAATTTTAACAAAAAAATCATGATCTCCGACCTCAAAAACCCCCACTTACCAAATCTTGTCCGCCATCTTGGAGCAGCCATTTTTTTTAATTTCAACAAAAATGGTGGACAAGATTTGGTCCGATTCCATTCAAAATTAGTAAGTGGGGGTTTTTGAGGTCGGAGATCATGATTTTTTTGTTAAAATTTATAAATTCAAGATGGCGGCTTCCAAATAATTTTTTGTTTTTTTATAAATGACGATAACTCCGTTGTTATCAACACAAAACTATTACTGCGCCATATCATCTGTAAGAGAAAAAAAAGTTATTTGTAATTAAGTCATAGTGAGCTATGACCTACATTTGAAAAATTAAAGTTGGTGCTGATATCTCAAATTCTAGAAAAGTTGGTATAAATTTCATATTTTTTTCGAAATCGCTTTGAAAAACTGCCATGAGAATGTGAAATTCCTATTTGAATATTTTCATAAATGAAGAAGTTACGGAGGAGACATGAAAATGATCAAAATCTGTTTTTTGCGTATAAAACAAAAACGAATAGATTTTATCAAAATATTTTCTCATATTAATAATAATAATAATATAATAATATAAGTTTATTCAGCAACGTTTACAAAATATACATTGGAATAAACATATAGGTAATTTGAATAAACTGGGAAAAACCTTACGAAGTTAACCTTGTAGTAAGGATAAAAAATAAATAAATGTACATAGGTCAATAAATATTTAACAATATCAAATTATCACAAGGGAAAATTGTCTCATTAAGAAATGAGACACGTATTCAATTTATAATATATAGTGTACTGAGCATTTCATTCAATATGCATAATAATTTATATTCATACATACTTATTCACAATTATTATTAAAATTTATCTAATGATATTATTAAATGTTAATTAAAGAAATAAAATAATTTTAAGGGGAGTTTAATATCCAGTTTTTTATTTTTATTGTATAGGATTGTAGTGATTTTGTTTTTGACAAACTCCACATTTGGTGTCATTTAACCGACCTCGTATCTCTCACCGTTAAAAAGATACCCATGGTGAGCATGGTAAGTGGGACACACTGTAGAAATTTTAGCAGATACCGATAATCGGGCGATACCGATATTTCAAACACCGATATATCAGGCGGTTCGTTTCTTTCCGTCGCACGATTCTGCAGGTCCTAACCTAACCTAACTTGTATTCGTCTTCTGCCTTGTCATGATAATTTTAATTTGTGTTTCATTTTGATGGTTGTGTTTGTGGTACAGAATAGAATAGAGGCTGAAGTGTTTGTTTATAGTAAAGTCAAAGGTGGAATTATTATTGATGTAGGTATATTTTGTGATGAAAGCCGAAAACAAGCCCTTTATGGCAATATCCTGATCCTGATATTTGTAAGAGAAAAATATAAAATGAGATTCTGCTCTGCTGTTGGTCGGAAAGAACAGAATAATTTGAATTTCATTTAGACAAAATCAGATACCTATTCAGTTCTTGATTATGGTTTACAATGGTATAGTGAGATATTTATAAATGTGTCACCCAAAAAAGTTATTTAGTCGCGAAAGTGTATTCATGTAACGTAGACAATCGAAATTGATTTTAATTGTTTTTTAGCTAAAAAACTTTTGAATTCGGCTGAAGTTGACATTACAACAAGACCATTTGAGATCACTAATGAGGAGTTTGTGAGAATTTTCCATGCCTACAAAGAGATTTGTGACGAAAACCCTGGGGTGGCAGAATATGATTCAAGAGCTTGTAAGAAACTAAATGTAGATATAGATAATGATTTATAGTTATTTGAATATTTCAAATATAAAATGAGTGTTCTAGCATTTTCTTTCATTATTCTTTTCATTTCTGACAATGATCTGATCATGTGTGTGTATCTAGCTGAAAAACGCATCCTTATATCTTCAGTAATTGTTATTGCATTTTCAAATTCACATTTTTCACTCTCACAGAAGATATTGCCCAAGTAGCAAATTAAATTCTATAAGGTTTCTACAAACAGCTACAATATAATTTTATAGGATAATAAAATTCTTATTACGGTCTACAAAACAATCCTTATACAATCAAAATGGGACCATTTTTATAAATCAGTTTGGTAGTATAAGGGTTCTATAAGGTTTCTACGTTTATACAACTTTTATATGACGTACGACCTGTCTGACCGATATATACCTTAGGACAAGATCCGTTTAATCAGCGCATTCATGAACATAATATGAATTTTTTAAAAAAGAAAACAAATTTAACAAACGCCAACCATATTTTAGAAGACAACCATAGTTTTGATGATAATTTCGAAATTCTACATGTAGAAAATAAAGGAATGAAACTCAATCATTTTGAATCATTAGAAATCAACAAACTCAACAATTTTGACATTTTACTCAACGACCGAACTGTACCAGTATATCACCTGACGAAGCTACTGTGTTAGCGAAACATGTCGTGTGTTTAATAAATTTTGTGGAAATCTTATCGTTTGTGAAGTTTTTACATTTATCATGGATTTCCATCAAGTAACGGCCGAATCAATTCAAAATTTTACTCAACGATCAATTAGACCTCAATAGTTCACCACTGTTGAATTTGTTTTCTTAGTATGTAATAATATTTATTTGCTATCATCCCTTTCAAGTTAATTCGGTATACCGTAATTTAATGTTGATATTGTGCCTAATTTCAGAAAATGGAGGTTGATCGATTCTGTCCACAGGTAATTAATCCTCCAAGTTGGGAAAGTGGGATGTATAAAAGTTAAGCGAGCCAACGTTGGTTTAGTTCATTGTACCAGTATAATATACTACTGTGTTAGCGAAACATGTTGTGTGTATAAGAATTTTATGGAAATCTTATCGTTTGTGAAGTTTTTACATTCGCCATGGATTTCCATCAAGTAACGACCGAGTGAATTCATAAAAAAAAAGTAAAATGAAGCGATATACGATAAAACTGTTCTATAGCGAAGAATATTCAGTTACTATAAAATTATATTTTTGACAAGTGATGATTATATTGAGTGTGAAAAGTAGAGGTTGCTAGATCTTATAATATGGTAGTGATAAGATAAGAAAAGATAATATTTATTAATCCGTGACCAAATACATGGTATAGGACATGTAACAAATGTGTATAATATATGCATATATGTATTTATAAATACATATATAAATAGACAATAATACTTACAAATTAGTAATTAGTATATAAACATAAACAATAATACAATTAACAATCAAGGAGCAAAGTATAAACATATAAGTTGAGAAGCGAAATATAAACAGGTAAAAATTGGTAAGTATAGGAAAATGGTCGATTTACAGAGGAAAAGCACATACATCATACATTGTTTGATCAATTACAAGGGGCACGCACATTTAATAAAATGTAGAGAATATTATATGAGGACCACCAGAGACGAACAAAGTCATGTCAGAATCATCGAAATATTCTTGTAATGAATAGGAAGCTTTTGAGAGTAGTAGCATTTTCAGTTTCTTTTTGAACTTATTTGAAGGTTGGCAACTCTTGAGATTGTTCGGGAGCTTATTATATATTTTGCAACTAGCGTATGTTGGAGATTTTTGAAATGCTGTCGTTCTGTGGGCAGTGGTTATAGTAGATTAGTGCCGTTTCTTGTATGGTATTGATGGTGGTCATTATTTTTTTCTAGTTTCTGTATATATTTTTTTGACATAGACAACTCTTGAGAATGAAAATGGAGTAGAAAGTCGAAATTTGTTTGGCTTTGAAAATTTCTCGACATGAGTCACGTGGTTTATCATACTAAACATCAGCCTAACAATCCTTTTTTGTGCTATGAATATTCTGTTAACCCCTGTTGCATTTCCCCATAGTGTGATATGAGATGATGTGAATTTAAACGTCAAAAACAGCTAATAATAATTATTTATCAATGTACCTATTCGAAATTCGGCCTGAGTCGAGGTTAATAAATACTGCTATCACCACCATTATATGGCCGATTGAAGTCCGATTGCATTCTTCTGAACGGAGACAATAATATTGCATTTTCTTCGGTTGATATAGATAGGACTTAACATTCATACTTCTTAAAACTAAATATGAAAATGGTTAATTCAAGATCAATTGATAAATAACACCTAGTACCCAAATTTCCATCTCACAAACTGTCACTCTCCAGTGTCACGAGAATATTAAACAAAACGTTTCAGAAAAAACATTCCAGTGTTGATAACGGGAGCAGATTCGTTCCCGAAAAGTCAACCACTGAGATAAATAGAAAAGTAGACATTTTGATATTTGTTAAATACATTTGTCTTTACAATTTTTTGAAAAACAAGGTGTCATTGACAAACAGAGAATCTCTCTTTTAAATATCTGGAGGTTAAATTTCCAGCGCAGTGACATTTTGGGACAGATCATCAATCTGTCCTTACAACAAATATATTAGAAAAATCAGGTATTAAAATTTCTGTTCCTATTTTCAGAACCGAGGAGAGAAAGTCCCAAGAATCTGTAAAAATAATCATACTTAGATTAGATTTAGATTTATCCCAAATAAACAGAATTAATTTGCCCAGGCTCAACTATAAAATTTTTAGGTCAACGTGACAACCATTCTCCAAAAAGTCTGAGAAGGTTAAAGAGATATCTGCATCGTGGTATCATTCGGTTGTTGAAAGTGGTTGTGTACGACTAACAGCACTATACAACCTTTATAAAATCTTTTGCATCCTAACCTCAAACTGGTATAATTTGGTATTGGTATTTTCATCTCCATTGAAAATACGACATAAGATCTCGGGATTACTTGCAAGAATTCGTTGATACTTCTTACATGCGCTTTTAATATTGTCACTGTGTCTGTTAACTTTTTTCCACTGAGAATTCATACTTCAATCGAATTTGTCACCCATAAAAATAAAATATTTTGATGCAAAAGAGCGGTTATCCTCTTGAGGCATTTTTAACGGAGAAAGGCTTATAGTATTCGAAGTTCACGTAAAAAAGTGTTTCATAATGCAACTCAATTGAATGCTATAAAATATTCATTATACAACATTTTACAGCTTCAATAAGACAAGCTTAAGTAACTGTTTTATAATGTTGAATCTACTAGTTATATAGTATGCAATAGAACTCTTATTTCAATAGGTATACAAGTCTTATAAAATTATATTTTCGATTATAAAGTATTATATCATTTTAAAAGAAATTATCCTCTAATGCGTTATAGCATATATCGTAAAAGTCACTATGAAATCAATCAATACAACAATTTTCTTAAAGAGAAATTATCGCAACAAGAGGCTCTGTAAAAACAAACAGTCCTTAAAACAACGCTATTCTACTGTTATATAATGATTCCGTCCTTTTAGAATTCCATTTTGCTAGTTGGGTGATTATCTATCTGAAGTTCCTCTGTCAACAGAGATATGGCTTGTATATGAGACTCAGGGACCCCCAGTTCATAATATAGTAGTGATAATTTTGAGTTATACACGAAATAAGTTATGACTAAATAACTCACTCGCATCTAATGAGGAACATACAGGGTTGGGGTTGGGATATGAAATATGGAACTTCCGGTTTGACCGGAAATACACAACTTTTTTAATTCAAATGGGACACCCTGATGAATATTTCTGCAAAATGGATCTTGATATTTTGAATTCGTACATACTGGGTTTGGTGTAAATAATCTGTAAAAACGAGAAATGAAGCGCTTTTCATTTACTGAACAATTAGTTTCCATTAGTTATTCCAAGTATGAAAACGAGAATAAAAATGATTTGAAAAATTTTTTTCAAATGTTCAAAATGCTCGCCGGTCACCTCCTGACAATATTTAAGCTTAACAAATTCCTGAGTTACTTTTTCCAACACTTCTCCATAATTTTTTTCACACGCATCGATGATTATATATTTGTCTCAATTCTTGCATGGATGATGGTCCCCTAATATGGACACGTGATTTTTGATAACCCCAACGAAGAAATCTAACAGATTAAAGGTCTGGCAGCCGGAGAACGACCAATCCATTGATTTTGAAAATTCGTATTCAACAAATCCCTAACCCGTCTATCATCGTGGGTAGAGTCCCTGTATGTAATTGGTTCAAATTATTAGTATTCTCATTCTTATTGGTCTAAACAAATTCAAATTATTCGTTAAGAAAAAATGTGCTTTAGTGTTTGCGTCATATTGCACTCACGTTATCTCAACCCTGTATATTACCCTTATACTTACACTCCTTAATCGTAAGTTTATTGAAAACATACTTTCAGAATGTTCAATCTTCGATATTTGTAGCGAAAGTAGGTAGGTAGGTAATCTTTTGATGCATACAGTCCATGTTTTTTATATCGGACCACAATTTATATTGGCAACCCGAAACGGCGAATGAAGAACGAATGGTCATACATCTCAAAATCCCTGAAAATGAAGGCGCCAGCGCAAAGAAGAGAAACTAGACCATTTTGTTTTTCCCTGTATATTTCGTGATATTTCCGATTTATAAACATTGTTTCATTGTTTACTTAAATAGGCAACTTTTGTCTAATTTAACCAACCGTTTCCAAGATGCCAATATAGTAGTACCTACTACATAAAACATGTACGGTCATAAAAAAATATCGATAAAATAATCGGATACAATATTCCTACCCATTATCAACATTCTTTATTTTGTTTAATATTCATTGGATATTGTTTGGTAATTTTTATCATTTGAAGACCTTAGAGCAATACAATGGTAAGCCAAACTTTGGCAGAAACCTGTTTTATTGCATAAATCACTCAGCGAAAACTATGTTAAGCCACAAAAAAATTTCTTCGACTGTAAGGCAATAGATGGCGGAGCGATCGCTGCATCGTGTTATTGCAGGCAGCCAAATTTCGTCATTTTGTCGCGTAAAACGTGGTAAGCCATATCACAATGGCGTCGACCTCTGGTACACGTGCTCATTTGAGGGCCGTTTTTAGTGGCAATAGCGGTTCAAGTTCTGATTTTTTTGAGGATAGTGATGACAGTTGTGCCGACAAAGACTTTGTACCAAGTAGCGATGATATATCGTCGGATTCTACAGAAGTAGGCCACATTTTCTTTTTTTTTTGGCTTACCATGTTCTTATGTAAAAATATTTTGTAAATAATTTATGCAAGAACATGGTATGCCATGTGGCTTAACATGTTACTGCGTTAACTTTTTTTTATTTTTTTTTTATGTTGCATTTTAAGTCTCATTTTATTATGTTTTGGGATGAATCGCCAGAGCATGCATTTTATACGCAACTAAATGTTGCTGTTGACAATTCAGACGAAGAGATTGAAATCTTTGATGAGTAGTATTGTATTTTTTCAGTAATTTTTATGATGAGTTTAGTTTAAGCAAAAACATGTTAAGCCACATTTTTTTCAAAATAAACTCCATTTTTTGTAAAAAAAATTGTTTTTTTTTTGAAAATAAGAGTTGCTCATCTTTCTCCCTCTTTGACATTATGTACTGACAAAGTTTGAAATCTCTTAATCAAAACCATTTTTTTACAGAATTTTTGAAAACTTTAAACCGTAATATCTCAACTTTTTGATTTTGAGGCTTACCATTGTATTGCTCTAAGGTCTTCATTTACATATTCTGATGCCGCTGGCTATCGTATTCAGACAATTTTAGTGACATTTGTCATACCCATACTAACATCAAATTACTGTTGTATTAGTTCCTTCTGAAATGAATAAAAGTGCCCAAAATATTAGAAGATTTTCAACAAAACCAAAATTACCACCTTGTAATTTTGAACCCAAACCATATAAGGTAGGCATGTATGTAGAAGTGAACAATTCTGAGCTAAACATGGTCATTGCCTTAATTTTTCTAAATATTTTTTTCCTCATCCATATAAATGAAAATATTAGTATTATTTCAATATACAGGGTGGTCCAGGTTAAACGTCATCAATTTATTTGATAGGCCCTAGAACAACGGAAAACCAAGAGACTTTCATGGAAACACTTTGGTTAGAAATGCTTCCAAGCAAAAATACAGGATGTCAAAGTTTTGGGCAAGAATTAAATTTCTCGTCATAAATTCCAAAACACTCGACCGATTTAGATGAAATTCGGCACACAAATATTACATCTCTGAGTAATGATTGAAATCATTTGGGGTAATTCTCCAGTGGCTTATACAATGGGGGTGGGTGTAGTCCCTTCTCCCTCTCCAAATCTTCCGTGTCATCGGATATTTCACAAAAAACAATTTTTATATTTCTTGTTCAGTTTAAAGAATAAAAATACCTTTGCAAATATTTGATGTATGGTTTTGTTTTTGAGAGACTTTTTTGAATTCGAAGGGATGCAAGAAGGCAAAAACTCATGAGGTTCTGAATAGGTTGTGAATGGTATGGCTTCCAATAATCTTTATTAAGTAGACATTGCAGTGTTGATTTTGATGATTCCAAACCTGACGCGGCCTGTCGATAACTCAATCGAGATGTCAAAACTGTGATGAAAGTCTACTTCCGTTTTTCTATCCGCCTATCAAAATTAATTAGGTACGTTTATCCTGGACCACCATGTATACTTGTATATAGTAATAAGGACAAATTAGATAATTTGCCTCATAATGCCACCGCGCTTTGTGGCACCTTGAAAAATTGATGAAAAAGAAGTGTTACAAAATAATAAACACCATCGATTTTTTAGTTACTATTTGCATGTATTTTCCTGAATATTCCTGATTTTATTTACACCGATGAGCAAGTAACGTTCGAACCAAGCTCTGAAAATCCTTTTTCTAGTTATTTTCTGTCTTATCTTGTTCAAGGGCTCCTTGGCCGAGTTTGTCTATGCGCTGAAATTCGCTAGATAGCCGTTCACGATGCAGAGAGGTACTGTCGGTTCGAATCCGGCTATCGGCTGAGCATTTTTCTTTAAAATGTGTGATTCATGGTTGTAATCCTGGCAACACCTCGATGCCCTAGAAGTGGTTCGGATTCCACTATAAGCTGTAGGTCCCGCTCTTCCTAACCCCGCACAAGCTTCGACTTCTGGGGAGTTGGTTCCCAACTTTGAAGTAGCGATATACAAAAAAATAATAGTTGAAAAGAGATATCAACATAATTATTGGGTATACCTCCAGCAATTAGATTTTTTTCACGACTACTTCTGTAAGTTTTCAATGTTTATTAAATCCCAGCGAGCACAAAAACATCTCAGAGGTGTTGAAAGTACGAGATTTTGAGACATTATGAACCTCCACTGCGATGTTCTGTTTACACATGAATAGAACTTTTATAGAACAGCCAATGTTCGCCACAAGCGGCAATTATCAAGATGTCTTTGGGATGTCACAATAGCTATATTTACATATCAAGAGAGCAAAGATATCCATTTCCTCCCGCATGTGAAGTTTAACCTTATTTTCGAGGGGGACATCGTTCTAAAATATTTTCAGCGCTGCGGTGTTGCCGCTTCTATCCAAAAGTAGAAACATTAACTTTGTTGTTTCAAATGGAACACCCTGTATTCCATTGCATTTCCAAATTCTCCCTGAAGATCTGATTCCATCGATGCATCACACTTGGGGTTTAGCGGTAATGATTACAGAGATATAGGGTGTTCAAAATCGAGATTTTTCAACTTCAGGATTTTTATGTGTCGAAACTATTCATCATTGGTGAAAACGACTCACATGTCCCCATCTTAATTTATGATTCACTATCTACTGCTGACATTTGAGTGGAGCAAATACAGAATGGTTTAAGATTCAGAATATTCTGATCACCCTGTATCTGTTTCAATTAAATGTTAGTAGATAGTGAGTCAAAACTTGAGACAGGGAAATTTGAACCGTTTTGACCAATAATGAATAGTATCGACAAAAAAATCCTAGATATGATGAAAAATCTCGATTTTGAACACCCCATATCTCGTGTAATCATTTCTGCTAGACCCCAATAAGTGTGATACATTGACGAAATAAACTCTGCATGGAGAATCTAAAAATGAAATAACAAAGTAACAGCGCTGAAAATATATTTAGAACGATATCCCCCTCGAAAATGTAGCTGACGTATTCCACTGTTTTCTTATTATCTGCTTCCGGCGACCTATAGAGTCTTTGTTTCGTTTTTCAAAGGGCCACCCTGTATATGATTTTATCCACGAACGCATATATCTGAGAGCGTCGTTCTCAAAATTTTGCTTCAGGCGATCTCTATCTCTCGATAGTCTCGATCCAAATCAATATATTACATGATCTAAGGTTACAGACAGTATTCTGAAACCAAGGAAGAAAGCTACAGCCAATTTATTTCTGCTCCCACGGGAAGTAATCTTTTTTTTTCTCCCATGGGAGTAAATTGTGTCCTCAAATGAGGGAGCAAACGCTTACTTTCGATGCAGTGATCGAGTAGATGAAAATAATTTTTCCTTATTTTTTTTATAGCCTTTTGATGAACACAACAGACATTTCCAAAGCGACTTTCGCTTTGAATAAATCATTTTCGAAGTACTTTTCTGAAGCTTGTCAGAATAATGAACTTTTGCATTTGGATTTCATCTTCCTTGAAAGAGAACATGCATTAAAACGGATTGAACATAAAAATATTTCCTTGATATAGGAAATAATTACCTTCATAATCGGTTTATAAGTAGTGCTTGCTACAAACAGACTTAAGAGGTCATTGTCTTAGTTGGATATGTACCTACCTACAATAAACTGACTTGAAGATACGCGTGATGCACAAACAACTGTTAAAAAACATAACAAAATTTTGTAATTTTGATAATATGTATTAACGTTTGTCAAAATATCATGTGTTACATCGTTGAAGCACTTAAAATGGATTTCACTTCACAAATCAACAAAAAATGTATAGGGTGTTACTTGAATAATTAAAGTTGGAGGTGGCTTTTCAAGGGTAGTTGGACAGAAGTTGACTGTGACACAACGGCTTCAAAGTCATATTAGCTTGTCAAGTGTTTTACAAAAGACTGTGATAGAACGGTTTCAAAGTCATAGGGGCTTGACAAGTGTTTTTTGAAAAATGTTTGTTTTCAAGCAGCATCATAACTGAGATATTGGCTGATTTATGACATGATATGAGATCTGAGACCCGGTGAATATATACGTCTGTATTCATATTTATCAAACATTTTTAAAACAATAAGGTATATATCACTGACTATATCGATTAATTCACTAGATATTCTAATCGGTAGTGAAATTTCAAACGCAATTGATTACATTTTGTGGCATCAGATTATTTGTCCTCGCCATAATGACATTCAATTAAAACTAACATTTTCATTTGTTGAAAGGAGGAGGGAAAATCCCAGTAGTTTAATGTCTACTCTACTTCCTATTTTATTTGAGGGTCTACCCTATGATGATCTCACTACCATTAGAAGAACTAATTTGAATCCAGCACTAACAACATATTATAGCAAACCACTTGCCTTGCATCAGGGATATAAACAATGGTTATTCGACATAGACGGAAGAAGATATTTGGACATGTTTGCTGGTGTTTGCACTGTGTCAGTTGGACATTGTCACCCGTGAGTAAAAATATATTTTTCTCTAAACGACATACCAGGTAACAAGCTGACGTCATTTGTACGTCAATATATGGTCATTTATGGTCATTGACGTCATATGACCTCAAAATGACGTCATTTTGACGTACTTAATATGACGTTATATAGACGTCCTTGATATATGTCGTCAATATGACGTCATCTGATGGTCATTTTCATGACTAATTATGACCATCATTTATTGAGTCATCTTCATCAAGGAGAATTCATAATCAAGAAGTTTCCCATCTCTGTTGTATGAAAACGTTAGTAGTTATGTTATATAACATATATTATTAAGTCACTCAATATATATTATGCTTTATAATATGTTTTCCTCTAATCTGTGCGAGATGTGTGTTTTCGATGGTCTCTGAGATAATTGTTAATTATATACCTTCTGTGCAAAGTATTCTCCCTATAGCTATTAAAAATATAATACCGAATGTCATGTCATAAAAAGCTTATAACGTTGTTATTCCGGAATGCGAATTCAAATCAGAGCGGGAGAGTGCGTAGAGAACTGTATTTGATTGGTCGGCACGGACCTTGCGCAGACATGCGAACGTCGACCGCCAGCGCCAAGCAACAGCCGTCTTCAGAAGACGGCTGTAGCCAAGCCGTTCACTTTCGCTTCGTCGTTGCGGCCATCATGACCATAACAACAAAATAACAATACATAGAAGGCCATCATTATCATGTTATTCGGCTATCTATGTGGTGTAGTGTGGTGGTCATACTTATTCATATTCATATATCAAGTAGTAGAATTTGAGGATGGCAGCATGGTCATTATTTTAGACAAGTGGTGTATGCCGAAAAATCAGAATGTGAATTGGACGCCATTGAAGGAATACCATAGGATTCTGAGAAATCTCTTGAGTGTATCATCCGAATGGGATAAGTTCCCAACAAAAATAACATTTTATGAAACGGGTATTTATAGTACCTACCTATAATATTATTTTGCATTTAATGTGGTAAAGGAACATCACTATAATTATACAAAAAAAATCTCATCTTTTCTGATAATATTGATACAACCCTAATGCAAACAGTGTTCTTATTACCTACAGAAAATTTCGAAATAGCACAAAATGAACTGAAACATGCAGAAGATTTCAGTGATATGAATAATCGTAAAGATCACGTCATTTTGACGCCATTAGGATGTCGTCATTTCGACGCCATTAGGATTACGTCATTTTGACGACATGAAAATGACGTCATTCGTCTTTGACTTAGAAGATCATATAAACGTCATTATGACGTCATTTTGGAAGTCATCCTGACGTCAGGCCTGACGTGATAATGACGTACAAATGACGTCAGCTTGTTACCTGGAAGTACACAAGGGTGTACTTTCTCTGCCTAGGTAGAATCATGCAGTTTGTTGTTATGCAACGTTCCAAGTGATTTGAATGAAATTGGTAATCAAAATTTACACTGATGACATTGGGTGAGCACAAAATGATGAAGTTTTCGATAAAACAATTACACAAAATTGGTTTCATATTATATTTGGAGAAACACTTATTTGTTTCACATGTCAGCAATGTAGATTATTGACTGCCATGGCTGAATTCATGACCTTGCTCTGCTCGGCTATGAATTAAAAGCCGCGGCCGTCAATGTACCACTTTGCTGCCTAGTAAAACAAATACCTAACTATTATTAATTTGTATTTATTACTAAACATATAGGATCATATGTTGAAGTATACTTATGGTTGGCTTCAGAGTAGTGGTTACAACAAACAGAAATACCACTTCTTATTGCCTTTTCGACAAATATTAACATGTCAACATCTTTTAAAATTTGTAATGAACATTTCGTGAACTTCAACATGCAATGTCACATATAACCTGATTAGCCGGATCCAAGGTATAAGTTTTCAAGGCAGCTTCTCTGAATTGTTCGAAAACATCTGCCAGAAGAAGGGCATCTCTTTTCGATCATGTATAAATCCGAATATTCGCCTGAATTTTGACATCCAAATTGTTGCCACATACTTTGAGCATGAGCGTACTTCACATCATCGATATTTTCATCGTTTAATTTATTGTCGAATTTCTCAATAGCTGGAAGTTAATTTCCGACTAATTTGCTCGGACTATTGATGTGTTCATACGGGAAAACACCTTCCTTTGTGAGTAGATCGAATTTCGAAGCGTCTAATTGGTTGAATTCTCTCCTTACATTTTGGAAGCTCTCTATCGTTGAATTAGAAGCCAATTCATCCCAACTGACACCCCAGAAATCTCAATGAATCCGAATTTAATACTGGTTTCTGTGTTGTGTTGGGTGAAAGAAATGCATTTTCCCATATTTATCGAAAGTACGCTCACCTGTCCACGTTTGGCAATCTCTCTCAACAGGAAATGAGAATCATACCCGGAAAAATGATATCAGCGCCCAGAAACTCCTTGTCACATATATGACAGTGTGTTACACCAACCCTATCTGGAAAATGAGTTAGAGGAACAATAATGTCTCTGATTTCAGACTGTACAATATTAGCGACAGCTGCCATTTTTGTGGCGAACCAATCCATGCAATCTGGACCTCGATGACTGTCTGTAATAGGACGATAGGATATCATTTGAAATAGTACCCTGTGCTGGAGGCTGTATGTTTTAATATTTTAACATAAAGCACTGTGCTCTGCCAATTTTGTTTGGCTTGAAAAATAACTTAGACATCTATCACAGGAGTATTTTTTAATTTATTCTCATTGAGTTGCGAAGACAGCAGTCTCGACATGTCCTTTATCCAACAATAATGATACCTAATATCTTCGTTGTAATCATCTTCAGACAACGCATCATGATCGTTGGGTTTGGGGAAATATTCACTTTGAATGAGTAGTAGATTTACATGTCTGACTTCTTATATGTTTCGTGAGTTTAATGTAAGTTTTTCAAATTCAAGACTTTTGTGAGAGTGACGGGTAAATCCAAGCCTGCGGTATTCAAAACCTGCTGTAATGAGGATTCGAGCTGGGTTTTTCACATTGATGCAGGCACACTTTTTGGAAATTTCTTCAGGTAGTGCAATGAAGGATGAACCATTGACAATTTCTAATTCATTAACATTAACCTCTAGAGAAATGATTTCTCTCAAGGCTCAGCCACTCTAACCTTCTCCTGGAATTCCGAAAGTTTATTCACTATGGTATCAATCACATTCTCTCCATGTAACTGTTTTTACGATTTCCAAGTCCCGTCCCAATTTGATTCTTCTTCCCAATCAACTTCGGAAAACTTTTCAAATGCCCCATATTTGTTTCTATGATTTCCGCAAAACCCCTGCTGTCCAATTAGTCTCCCTGATTGCTCTATTAAGTTCTCTTGTATGCGCCTGTATTTGCCTAATCCATAATAATATTTCGTCTGCTGTATGTTCTTATTCCTCAAAATTTCCTCCGCTATTCTATATTTCTCAACGATAGCATCGCTAGAGAAGCAATACTATTCACACTTATGTTGCGAGAAATATCAAACAGAAAATAATATTTTACCACTAATTTTCAGTCTCAAAGAGGGCTGCATGTCCGGTGTCACCACCCTTGTGAATCAGGCTGTATTTGCCTTGTACTTGAGGTTTGAAGGTAGCAACCACCCTCCTTGGCAGAAATACGCTAAATACCTCAAGTTTGATCACAATAGCCTCCAAATTACTTCTGGACGAGCTTAATATTTTAAATGAGGCGGGGCTGGTTGATGGGCAAGCTACTAGCGCAACAATCGGCTTGAAGGCAGCAACTTGAGCGTGGGTAGCTGAAACATATCCATCTGATGGGAATACAAATATTCTACTACTTCAAGTATGAGGTGAAATGATCATTGAACGCTAGTCACGAAAGTGGTAGACTCACATGGCCTTGAAACATATGGAAATAAATAAGAAGCTCACGTTTTCTAATCCGCTGTTAAAACACACAAAATATAATGAAACAGACAGGAGCCGTCGAACAGACAGGAATATATCGACCGACTAGTGTCAGAGTACAGAATGGAATGACGCATGCGAACGTTCTAATCGCCATATATAGGGTCTGAGATTGTGACGTCACCCAGCTACAAACAAGTTTGGGCATGTTTAGTCTCCCAGCGAGAACGAAGGTAGCATTATTATCATATGGATGACTCATGGGCCACCTGCGTCGGAATAATGAATCTATTGTTCTCACACAGATAAGGATGATGTGATCGGACGAGGTTGTTACGTAATCGGCCACCTACAAACAAAGGCGGCATTGTTCTCAGATAGGAAGTTGAGATAATGATGACGTCATCTTCGCCCACCTGCAAACAAAGGATGCATTGTTCTCTCATATTGCGTCGCAAATTTTCCAAGGTCTGCTGAAGTTCCATGAAACGCTGACATATGGCATAACATGATTATGTATCATAAAGGTTCAGACTCCAGAGTTCAGAGTCTAGTGTCCTGAGTTACGTGTCGGCTGTCATCTGTTATATGTCACTTGTCAGCTATCGCCTATTGGTTGTCACCTGTCACTTCTTGTGTTCTATGCTACATGCGGCTGGTATTTGTCACCGGTCATATGTCACGACTGCTTGTGTTCTATGCTCTATGTCATCTGTCACTTTTCATCTACCACCAGTCAGTCGTCACGTGTCACTTGTCATCTGTCACTCCGTGTTCAATGCTCCATGTCATCTGTCACTTCTCGTGTCATGCCCCATGTCATCTGCCACTTCTTGTGTTCCATGCTCCATGTCATCCATCATCTGTCATGTGTCACTTCGGGTCTGCCAACGGCGGCCACCCTGTGACGTCACTTCTGGCGGCAGCCATTTCGGTGCCTTGGAAACGTAGGTACACTATAGTCAATCATGTTAACAGATTTGTAGCTCTGTTCAGATTTCGTGATAACACCCGGGTGATGACACGCTGATAACTATGCATTAATATTTTAATGTCATAATATTGAGATTGAGATACAAAATATTCAAATTCCTCGAATATCTCATATGTTGATAATCAAACTATTTTTCAGCATGCCACTGGCCCACTCGATTACATTGCATCTTTAGTTCAATTTGGAAGATATTTAAGTGAATTCAATTGGATGCAATTCAACATGGACATTTGATACTGTTTGAAATTGATAATTTATAGCAGGTTTTTATTGATTTCATTCAGAAGAGAAGGAAACAAGTAGAAACCTGTAAGAACTCAGTACAAAAACAACACACTTTTATAGTTTTTGAGTAGGACTCTCTATGTTCAGAAAGAGAATATTTCATCATTTTTTAATAGGCAGAGAATCCTTCGAATTGAAGTGAATGTTTCCCATTCGTGCACCTATCAGAAGTCCCTATTATACGGTCTGTTCGTTTCTATCTATCCCATCAACTCGGCCGATCGAGTTCGAAGTCAGCCGGCCAATGGCCAATAAGTTTAAAGTCGGCAGGTCGAGTTGGTAAAACACAAATTATCGCATGTGTTTCCGTGGAAAGCAAATTCAGCAACAGACAACTATTAAAGAATATTACGATGGTTTCGAACTGCCATCCCAAAATAGATCTTTTTTCACAGGTTTTCTGATTCACAATCACAACTGTAAAGTATAGGTGCTAATTTACTACTGCAACTGTGAATTAGGTGCTCATCAACAGTTGCAACTATAAATTAGCATATTTATATGAGCTACAGGGGATGTTTCTGAAGCGATAAATGGATGGGGTAATGGGAGACAAAACACCAAAATGAATTTAAAGTACACTTATGTAAAGTAGCAAATAGATTCGAAAATATTTCAAATTTCAAATTTCGCCTGGAACTCATCATACCTAGATCATAGGTTAACAACCTAATCGTACCATTTGCTCTCCGATGTCAGAACCACCGTAAGTATCAGTGACTATTTCAATAATATGCTATACCGAAGCCAAGCTATATGATAGGTACACACAGATTAGTGTTTCCACACACATATCAAAATTATATTTAATTTACCTAAAATTTTCACTTTTTCGAGAATATTTGATGCTGCCATTAAAAGTTGTAAGAGCTGTCAGATAAGTGAGATTTAACATGAGGAATATATTGAGAGCCTTTCAGTGAGGATAGATGAAGTCAATTTATGTTTATGTGTAAACATAAATCTCGTGAACCAAAATAAGAGATACAACATTGCAAAAGTCATTGATGCTCGAGTTCGGCTCTCTACCTCTATAGTCTATAATCAAAGACTTAAAAACAGGCAGAGCATGAAACTAATATTTTTCGAATCATTTCATTTCTACGAAAATGTACTATAATTCAATTCCGGTGTTTTCTATTCTATTACCCAATGCATTTATCGCTTCATAATGCCGAGAATACGGCCCTTTAAGACAGAGAAGTGCACAAAAAACGTCAGGGCTGTACTTCTGAATCATTCGTGATCGGATTTTGAGAATTGTAGCAAGTTTACTCAAATTGCTCATTTATCGACATCACATGTGGTTTCACCGGAAACGACACTAACTTTTGATTCTCGAATGAGATACCCTATATTTCATTTCATAATCGGTCAGGGATTATTATGACAAATTCAACGATACGAACGGTTTAATATACCGATATTTCAAACGATCTAGAAGATATTTAAGTTCGAGGTTTCCATATGCTCAATGGGTGTGACTTCGCAATATCGAACTTCTCTCTCTGTCACACTCATTGAGCCTATGTAAACTTCGAACGCAAATATCTTCGTGATCGTATTTGAAATAACCCTATCAAACCCGCTATCGGTTAATTTGTCATGATGATCCCTAACCGATTATGGAATGAAATACGGGGTATATCCCATTTAAAAGTCGTTTCCAGTGAAACCAGAGGTCATAAAACAAAAATTGTTCTGTCAATGAATGAGCGATTTGGTATACCTGCTATACCTACCAATTTTCAAAATCCGATCGCGCTCCTCTGTATATGTTCTGTAACTATTAATATGGGGGATGTATGAAGAAACAGTTTCATTTCAGAATGGCAGTTCAGAGCCGTCATTTTATTTCGTCAAAATATTCTCTATGCAACATTTATAGTAGCTATATAGTTTCAATTTAAAAAAATACTTACTAAATAACCTTTTTAATATATATTGATGATGATTGTACGTGATTGAAGTGTTTGTATGATCGGCCTGTTCGTAGAATATACCTTATACTAGGCTCAGGACAAGAAATATCGAATATTTGATCGGTGTGATATTTCATGAAATTCGAAAGAATTTACTGATGATTTTTCTATATTCATTCTATAATTTCAACCAATATATGGTGGATTACCATTTTACACTATTCATTGTCAGATGTTCAAACTACAAATATTTCACTAAGTAGGTATGAAGTTTCTCTCAATATCACAATGGTATCTTTATGTGAAAAGTCTCCTATAGATATTATATGTAGATTTGATATAGAACGTTATTTGAAGAGCAAACTACGACGCGTCTGAACTGCCATACTAGCAAAACTTTTTTTCGCCCACTGTAAATTAGGTAGATAAATAGTTATTTATTATACAAGGGAAAAAAGTAGTAGATTTTAGCTCCAGGTTGTGTGCACCGTGAGCTAAAATCTAATATTTTTCCCGTGTATAATACACAATTTTTTTCTGTGACAGAAGGAAGGACGAATCAATATTGAGAAGATATTATATTATTTCGAAATCTGAAAATTATCGACGTGAAATTTCAAGTTTTTAACAGTAGGGACACCTGCGTTTTATAGGCATCTTTATCATTCTTTTGAAGTAATCAAATATCTGATGTCACTTCTGTCAGTTCAATTCTGTGATTTGATTTTAAAAAATTGCGAATTCAGTAGTTGTTTAGTAATATACGAAACCGCGAAGTCGAATGGAAGATAAAAGGACTCGCAGTTCTTTCTCGGAGACGGTATTATTGACTCATATTTCGGAACTATAGCACAACAAAAGCCATTAACAGAGTGTATATATGTGATATATATTTGGGAAAAAAGTACTCACTTTTTTCCCATGGGAAAAAAGTAATTTATGAAAAGTGACATTTTATAACCTGCCAACAGAGATGAAATGCCAAACTTTTTTCCCGTCACAGAAAAAACTTTTTTTCTACAAAACTGCAGTTGCAGTTAGGTAGAATCAACTTCTTTTTCTACACATCTCCAAATTTACAGTTACAACTGTAAATTGGCAATGAGAATCGTGAACAATAAAGTTTTATGAGATGGCAGTTCAAGCGCATATCATAGCAATAAACAGCTAGAAATAATGTTTTTCTTATGTGGCCATGGGGATAATTATGCAAGATGTGTATATATATAACTATTTAGCGAGAGAACCTACAGATTATCAAACTATTTTAGGAAAATAACGAGGGCCGTATCAGAACAAATGGAAATCCTAGGACATGCTACCAACATATATTACCATACAAAAATTCATGAATATGCGATGAAATTATCCGAAACACTGCCAGGAAGTTTGAAGGTAATGTATGAAGAATGTATGAATCTGAGTTCAGAATAGTGGCATGCTTTGTGAACTTTACTTTTCGGTGTGGCTTATATCTTATACGGGTGTTTCCTAAATAATTGGAGCAATGAATAAAATGGGGTGTTTGAAAACACATAATGTCACAATGAATTGAAGGAAAGAAATTCTCAGAGCTCTCGAAAATTTTCAAGAAATTGATGATTGAACTCACTATAGTCCGGAAAGCACTGCGATTTGATTCCCAGTACGCGCTCTCACGCGCTCGTGTACAAAAACTGAATATTCTGGGACCAATTTGTCCGCGTTGATTTTTCTACAAGTTGCGGTAACTTGTTCTATAGAGTAATGTGTATCTCGTACAAAAACTCAGAATGAATAATGAAACTTTTATACATTAACCCATTAACCTACAGACAGCAAACTGCTTGGGTTTACAATGTTCGGAAACATCGAGATAACTGATTCTGAAAGGGTAGTTGGGGCTCGATTTGGATGAAATACTCGTAAAACTATAATCTAACGTGAAAATGTACTTAACCCCATTCGTGTTCGGTCGTTAACCTCTAATGAGAAATGATTATCAAAAGTTGCTGCGCAACTTATGATTATCAATATTCTCCACGATAATTTTTTTTCGACAAATATTTATACTTCCATTTCGTTTTGTTTTTTATTTTCTATCATCCATTTCATTTACTGCCACAATTTTGGAAACACCCTGTATATGAATATGCCGCGCGCCATAATAGATTAGTACCAATATCAATATACTAAGCCTGGTAGGCTCTTTAGCCAAGAATCACCTCTCGTCTCACAATCCAGGTATTGAAAAATTGTTTGGCAGAACTTGATTGATGAAATGTCGATAACAAATTTTCAAATCTCTCAACTGAATTGTAAAGCTATGCCCACACCGAGATTTTGATCGATTTATGTCAAGTTCGTATCCTCATACATGCCAGAAATTCGGAAATACCTATACATGGGTCCTACGTAAAATCCGTATCTCCATTTTAAATAAGTTTTTCATACTGAATGTTCGTCTACGCATATATACAATGTTATGGTGATTACTGTTTCATTATGCATAAAGGCGTAGACGGACATTCAGTATAAAACTTAATTTCAAATGTAGGTAAATACAATATAGAACAATACCTACAATTACCAAAAATGTAGACAAGAATTTCAATAAATTTGTTTCAATAAATCTTATTGAAGAAAGAAAAAGGAAATTTGAGGATTGACATTTAGCTACTGCTTTGCGCGGTACTCCCTTTGACCGGAAATGACGCCAACTTTCGGTTTCTAAATGGCGGCAGATCCTATATATTTTCATCTACTCATTTCGATCGAGAATGACAATCAAATTATTCGAGCCACCACATTCCCATTTGAAAAAATCAAGTCAACTGGAAAAAATCATATTTGCGACTTTCAAATAATTCTTAAGACGACTGTGAACTCGTGAACCTCAAATTCGTATTTTTCCCATGTAATCTAGCGTGTATTTCCCAAACCATAGTATTCTGTAGTGCTTTCGTAAAACGAATACAAATTTGAATTTGACGAGACGATTGGATGTCAGAATTTAACTCAATAATAGGTAATGTTATTATTACTGAATTCACAATAGTAATGGATGTCATTAACTGTTGAAAATCAATTATGCAATAGATGATCTAGATATTGTGGTAGATAAATATAATTGTTTCACCAGTTTTCCCCACTATTATTATGAAAGAATATAAAGTCCAATAATGACTAACATGTACTGTCGCGAGAAGACTGAATTTTTATTTTCCTCATTGAAACAATAATATTTTCCTGATTGAATCGATTTTCTGAATTATAGTGATTACTACTCACCTTTGCCGTCATTTCAGGATCCCTGTAAATAGTTGACCGTGAACATTTCACAGAGGACATATTCGGCCAACCGTCATAATTTGATCAAGATTCAAACATATTTCTCTTTTTACAATGGGGTTGTTCACACTAGTGGAATTCCGAAGACAATTCCATTGTATAATATATTGATCGTTCCATGTATTGATAGTATTCGATACATTGCTTCATTATTTGAGATCATTATAATTATTTTTTTCCTTGATGAAAATCATCACCTCTCAAAAACGCGCTAGCTGTCGATGATGTTATATGTATACATAAGCACCAATATCAGCATCGTCATTACACCCCAGCGAGCACAAAAACATCTCAGAGATGTTAAAAGTACGAGATTTCGAGACATTGAACCTCCACTCTGCGATGTTCTGTTCACACATGGATAGAACTATTATAGAACAGCCAATGTCCGCCGCAGGCGGCAATTACCGAGATGTCCTTGATATGTCACAAAACTACCTTCTCCCTAGTTCTTTTTAAAGCCTTTTCATGGACACAACAGAACATTTTCAACGCGTCTTGCGCACATTAAATCGCTGTAAAAAACGATTTTCGAGGTACTTTTCTGAAGCCTTTTGTCAAAATGAACTTTTGCATTAGGATTCCATTTCCCTTGAATGAAAAAATGCATTAAAAATAGATTGAACATAAAAATATTTTCTTGGTATGAAATTACCTTCTTAATCGGTTTCGGAGTAGTGCTTACTACACACAGACATATAATTGGAAATAGGTTTCCCAATTTTTGAAATGTTCTCCACAATGCATAATTTTGCAACTGCGGAGAAGCTGTGTATTGATGAATTCGTACTTTTATATATTGATTACACTGAGGCACCGAACAACGCATCTTGCATCTGATGGTCATTATTACAAACTAAATAAGACTTCTAACACAATAAACTTCACCAAATTCCTTTCTGTTCGTTAGCAGCGTGATGTAAGCGTGACACGCTGCAAACGCGAATGCCAATTGCGAACAAGAAGAACAAAATCGAAAACAAATCAGAATTCATTGTATTGTGACGTAAGCATGAGACGTTGTGGTGGGGCAAACAAAGAAAGGGCACAAAAGAACAAAAACAATACTTTCAATATCATTCTAAGACCTCTTTGGGAAGTGCATATTACGCCTCAAAAAAACATCCCCATGCCTACATTTCTAAAACATCCCAAAACATCCCAGGGATACCTCTCAGTAGGCAAACAAAGAAATGCCACAGAAGAACAAAAACAATACTTCAATATCCTTCAAAGACCTCTTTGGTCAGTGCATATTGCGTCTCAAAATAACATCTTCATGCCAACATTTTCAAAACATCCCAAAACATCCCAGGGATGTTTGTGCTCGCTGGGACCTCCCTGTCGGGAATGAGAATACATTAAAAATATTATAATTGTTCTGTATCAAGTTATACTGTTTACATGTAAACTTACTGGGTCCCGGATGCTCGCCAAATTTGTTTGTCAATTGACATAAATGTTATTACAGGCATTGAAGCGACCGAATAATGTGCTAAAGTTCGATCTGCATAAGTCGAAAGTTGCAATAAATCAATAATAGTCCAGTTCCCAGAGACCAAAAAAGGTGTTCATCTTACAAAAGGTGGGTCAAAAGATTTTATTTTTTAATAAAGAGTGAAATATAAAGAATGTGACTAAATCTGGGCTCGGCACAACTTTTGGTAGAAGAAAAACCTCGAAGTTTTCGAAAATTTTTCGGGTTAGAAGAAAAATTTGTAGGGAATTTAATGCGCTACAACTTTGTACAAAGATTATTTTTCGCTAGACCCACTCCTTTTCGACATATTGCGAAAAAAACGAAAAATGTCCGAAAACTTCGAGGTTTTTCGGCACCAAGAGTTGTGCCGTGCCCAGATTTAGTCACATTTTTTATATTTTATACTCTTTATACCCATTAAAACGGAACAAAAAAATAAAATCTTCTACCCCACCTTTTGGAAGATGAAATCCTCTGGAAACTGGACTACAAAATATTTCAACGATCACTACGATCATTTATAGAGACCCTGGTACCTATATCAATAGCATTGGATTGATCGCGGGGTTATTTAACGAATAATGATTTCATTTTTGAACCCCAATGATATTCTAAACTTACTCCATCGAAATTTTGAATAAAATGCAATTACACAATAAACAAATTCAATGTGACAAGTGTCACTGTCGATTTTCGGTTAGAATACTGTCTGTTACCTTAGATCATGTAACATATTCATTTGGATAGAGACTCGATAGATAGAGACCGCATGAAGCACAATTACTGTACTGTAATTTCAAGAACGACGCTCTCAAATATATGCGTTCGTGGATAAAATCATATAGATATATATATCTTGGGAGCGAAGGTTCATTTCATCCCATGTATGTTTAATGCCCTCGCCGCTACGCGTCGGGATCAAACTTCTCACGCGGAAGGAAACGGATAGCTTTGCACCATTGATATATAAAAAGCTATTTTATTGGAATAGACCAATGTTAACATGAGTCCAGAAAGTTCGTAATTTTTCTCCGTAATATACTTTTCTATCTGTAATCTACTGGATTGACCTTAGTTAACATTACCGCAATAATATTCATTGTAGTGCATTTACTTCGTGAACAGTGGATCAGAAGCAAACGACTTAGCATTATTGATGGCTAGATCATACACAGGACGATTTGATGTCATATCATTGAAAAACTGCTACCATGGAATGACTTATCAGATGATGAGTTTGACGTCAAACAATCACTATAAGTATCCTGTTCCTGGATCTGCTGGATTTTTCAAGGTAAGTGCCTATAACTAATTATTTTATTTCGATTACATTATGAACATATCTGAAGTATGATGAAATGTATATGCATGTTCAGCATCTGTACTCATATTCATTCCTATACATGCTAATATACAGGCTGTCTCTCCGCACATTGAAGGTATGGTCGAAATAACCTTTATGTTTTCTTTGGGTACTTCATGGCTATCCCGAGGGCTATCCATGAAATATCTTCCGAACGATGTTCGTTTCGAATTATTTCAATGACTCACGATGGTGGATCAATTGAAAAGAATGATTTAAATTATATATATTCATCATCATCATTATCATCCACAATTCCCTTAACATAAGTTTTTTCATGGAGAAGAATATTCGCAAAAATCTGAACCTACCCAGTTGACCAAAACATACAGCCATATTATCACTGCTGCATTACAAAATATGTTCCAAAGTTGTTTCAATCAGAGATATTAATGAATTTTTGTAACGAATGAAATCAAACTTAATTCACTTTAATTTGAACATTTTTCACCACATGTTTCAATTATCACATGTTTCATCACCTGTTTCATCACATGTTTCGTGACATATTTCATCACATATTTCATCACATATTTCATCACATATTTCATCACATGTTTCATCACATATTCCATCACATATATCTCATCACATATTCCATAATAATATCTTCCATTTTTTATCACAAAAGATGCCTCTTTGGCCATATCTATCCATCCGCCATAAATTAATCGAAATCACATGGATACAATTATCTATAATAATATGTTATTTTCAGACACTCAATCCAGACGTCTATAATGGTATTTGGGGTGGCAATAAATGTCGTGACAGTCCCGTACAGACAGACAGAATTTGTTCATGCACCGGAGAGTGCGAAGCTGGGCTGAAATATATCGAACAATTCGAGAATGAGCTGAATTATCAAATTTCCAAAAATGGACTTGCAGCATTTTGGGCAGAGTCCATACAAGGCGTTGGGGGTGCCGTGCAGTATCCCAAGAATTATATTAGGCGAGTTCATGATATTGTTAAGAATCAGGGAGGACTTTTTGTGGCTGATGAAGTAAGTTATACATGAGTAGGTATCACCTACACCTTCTTATAATCAAAATATGATATCGATTTAAAATTTATTTTGACTGTGTAATCGGTAAAAAATATGGTTTTTTATTATTTTCATTATTTCATTCCTAATAATAGTTTGTAGTATAGTGCATGACTGGAATACATGAACTATTGTAATTTATGGCAATATTCTGCTATTTACTTATGGTATCCAAGAATACTCGCATATTGTCCTAGAAGAAATAACATTTTTGCTGAAAAATGTAGTCATTCATGCATTCAATTTTGACTACCTACCTATAGTTATCATAAACATCTGCCAGAGAGGTCATTCAATTCATATACCTAGAAGTCAAATCAAATCAATTTATTCTATTCCATGACAATATGCGTGGTGTATAACAATTTTTGTTTGTTTGTTTGTTTGTTTGAGATTATTATAAATAATGATATAATAATAATATATACATGTGTGGGTATATTTTATATTATATATATGTTTTGATTTTGAGGCTTCGTAAGAAGTGAAGTGACCTAGGCACTAGTGCCTGTATTGTCGACTATCCTCCTCCTAAGAAGCCAGAAAAAAAAAACTTAATACCACTATAAAAAAATAAACAACAAAATTAACTTAAAGCTATATAAAGCTAACAATGATGATCCTAGGGGTGGAGTGAGATGGTCAAGATGAGAATATAGGGCTATTTCGAGAAAATGATTTTTCTTTTTTTTTTTTTTTTTTTCGGGGTTAGGGGAAGATTTAAAAGATTTTTGAGAGTGGATGTATTTGAGGATTTTCATGACTTGAAAATATCGTACTTTTTGAAGTTTTCCAGAATATTTTTTTTTATTTCAGTTTTGAATTTATACGTTTTAGTAATTTGTTTGATATGTAATGGTAGTAAGTTATATAGTTTTGGTCCATAATAGTGAAATGATTTCTGCGTCAAGGTTTTATCGAAGAAATCAATATGCACATTCCAATTAGTTGCGGCTCTGGTGTTCGAATTTTTTCTTTGGAATGAGTCCCTTTTATGATAAACTCGGAGAAGGCATTGGTAAGTGTATATCTGTCTGACTGTGAATAATTGGGTTTCTTTGTAAAGAAGTTGAGTTGAAAATCGTCTGTTTTTGTGAAGTATGATTTTTAAAAGAGTGTTTTGGGTGGTTTGTAGATTTTGTAAGGTCGTTGTGAAGGTGCCTCCCCAGATGGTAATGCAGTACCTTAATGTTGATTCGATTAGTGAATTATACAGCTTCATCAGATTTTTTCGCGATAAGATATCTCTCAAGTTGTAGAATTTATTCATCAGTTTCCTTATACGTTTGACAAGATAGGTGATATGATCATTCCACCTAGTATGCTGATCAATCATAACGCCTAAATATTTTATATTTGCAGTATTCTGTAGTGTGGTGCACCCACAGTTATTGTCGTTATCTTTATTACACTGATGGGAATGTAATTTGATATACATTTTTGGTTGGTCTACTGTAGTCGGGGAAAATGTAATATATTTTGTTTTCTCAATGTTTAAACTGAGTAGATTGTAGTTCAACCATGTTTTAATATATTTCAAGCTTGTCTCAGTTTTTGTGTGAACTTCTTCCCAACTTTTACCAGTAATCACGAGGGCAGTATCATCAGCATAGCAAACTAATTGACCTTCCAAGTTATGTATTCTAGAAATACTATTTATGTATGTAGCAGATCGCACCTTATGTCCATTGAGTAATTGAAGCTAACGTGCGTATGTGTTTGTTATTTTTATATTTTGCGAATTTCTCACCATTCAGTCTTTGCTGCTAGGAAGGTAATAAACCACCTAACGCAATCTATAGGTATGCGGGCCTACCAAAATATGTCGTTTCATGGTATCGCCTGTATCGTGCAGTGCACTGTGGGTTCGATTCGGTGCCTATGCGTAAGGCCACCTGAGGCCGCTGCTTGTACCTCTTTCAGTAGAAGTTTTTTGCGCCTATTTCCAAAACCAGGTTTTTGCTAGGATTTAGGATTATCGATGTGAGTGGATTTCGGGAGATCTCTAGAATTTTGCAGTGCATTATCGAAGATATCTAATGTGACACCGATTCCAGTGAAATAGCTAGGGGTTCATAGCCCAAGAATTCCTTGAAACTTGCACCCGCATTTCATTTTAGGTAAGCCATTTATTTATGTACAATCCCGGGTTCTATTCTTGATTATTATAATGTTGATATTCGTATATATTATTCAGTAAGAATTTCGGCACGTAGTCCATTTGTAACAAGTCATGTGATGTCTGTTTTGGGATTAGGGAAGTGAAACAATCAGAGGTCAGAGTTTACCTTCACATTCATTTTATTTTAGAATCTTGGTGTACACTGTCGGATAAAGTAACTGTTTGGTGAGGAATATATAGCACGCTGTATCTGAACAGGATTGAGTATTGTTTTTACCAAGTACCATTTCCTGCCACACTACCCCTTTCCGGCGTACCCCAACCCAGAGCAAGATAAAGAGATCTTTTACATGTATATGAGGAATAATATCGGACCCAGCACTGTTCCTTGGGGCACACCTACTTTGACTATAGATTCAGAACTCAATTCATTTCCTATTTTTGTAGTCTGTATTCTATTTGACAGATAATCTTTGAAAAGGTCAAGAGCCAAGCCACGGATACCATAGTCATTCATTTTGTCAATTAATTTGCTATGGGAAACCGTGTCGAAAGCCTTCGCGAGGTCAAGAAAGACTGCTAGGCATTTGTTTGACTTGTCCAATGCCCCTACGACTGACTTGAGTAGGCTCAGGACGGCATCTTCAGTACTACAGTTTTTGATAAAACCAAATTGATTCTCGTTAAGAACTTGGTGATGCTCCAAAAATGCTACAAGTCTTTTCTTGGCCGCTTGTTCAAATAATTTCGCAAAATTATTGATAACTGATATAGGCCTGTAGTTATTTAGTTTGCTCCGATCACCAGCTTTGAAAATCGGGGTGACAATTGACTATTTCCACTGTATTGGTATTTTGGCAGTTGAGAAACTGGTATTTAATATGTGAGTTAAAGGTTTAAGTAAATGTATGTGGATATGTTTTATGAGTTTGGTACCAATTCCGTCGGGCCCTGCAGAGCAATTATTTTTCAATTTCGATAACAAGAGGATTATTTCTGTTTCACTAACAGGTTCCAGAAAGATTGATGAATTTATTCTTGATTCGTTTAGAAAATCATTGGGAAGACTAGTTTTTTTTTCTATGTCACGTGCCATTTTGATTCCCAGTTCCGTAAAGAAATTATTAAATAAATTCGCTTTTTCTGAATCATTTTGTATCAGAATGCCATTTTCATTTGAAATGTCTGTGCTGGATGGAAGTAAATGTAAGTTGAAAAATCTATAAGAAGGTAAAACGAATAAATCCGAATTTCAATTTTTGTTATGAGTTCTTCAAGGAGAATTAACATTATTTTAACATATTTTGAATAAGTACGAATAACTATCGTCTGTAAGTACATCAGGATGTCATATCTATACAAAAAATATTGCTCATCCATCAGCTATACCATAATACTTGGGTAAACCAGATGAGAAATCTACCATAAAAATTAAGTCCCTTCAAATTGAGTGAAATGATACATAATGTGATTCCTAATAAATATTGTACCTACACAAAACAATGATAGACTTCTGGCAAAATATGACCTTAGTAGAATGTGAATACTTAATAAATAAGTCATCTTCCTTTGCATGAGATGCGCTTCATCATGGATTTAGCCACAAATAATATTACTTTGAAAAACCCCAAAACACCAAAATTTCACCAATATCCATAGGTCAAGCGGATACTGTGATATTTCAAAACAATCAACAAACTGATTCAACTTCCACACCTAATTGATTGTAAACCATCATCATTTTACTGAAGTCATATTTGGCTAATTCTCATAATTTCATTCTTCCGTAACTTTGTGTACAATTCATTTTGAATTCCCTTCATAAAGAGAAATTGAACTGCCCCAATTCAAACTATGTTGCATGTATTAGTTAATTTGTGGTTGATAGAAATAACTTTTGAATCATAGATTGATTGATTGATAAACATCATATTAAGTACCTACTTACGTGTATATTTATCAAATTATCCCACTAAGGCGAAACTTCTATTCAGGATAACCTTGTAGACATGTAATTTATGATTTTTCAAGGTTCAAACGGGTTTCGGAAGAACAGGAGATCATTTCTGGGGATTTGAAGCGCATGGTATAGTTCCTGATATTGTTACGATGGCCAAGGGGATCGGTAATGGATATCCATTGGCTGCCGTAGCAACCACACCTGCAATAGCCAGTGGATTGGCTAAAGCTGGACATTTTAATACCTTTGGAGGGAATCCCATAGCCTGCACTGTTGGAATAACTGTTCTTGAAGTGAGTATTTTTAAAAACAGGGAAATTGAATGTAGTATAGTGTAGTTGTGTTAACGGACGCAGAAAATATTGTTCAAGCCATTCAAAAAATTTTATGATCGGTTTTATCTTATTTTTATGTGAACATTCACACCGGATTTCACTTTGACTGATTAAGTTGTGGCTGGGCAAAGACAATATGATGGTGAAAATTTGTGTTCATTCAACTCAATTTCAGGACTATGCGAATCCATGAACTAATTGTTTAAACAGTCGCAGGATGAAAATATATTTTTTGTATGTAGAAACAAGCTACATATTTTAGTACAGGTAGAGGATTCCATGTGAAGGAATATCCAGGATTTTCGGAACGTATATTGTGTATATGCGCTTTCAGAAATCTTGATCAATTTTATTCAAAAGATTGCTGTACACAATATCCCCATAATTGAACCGTGATAAGACCAACGATTCTGTGAGAAGTTTCCTGATTGATTGGCTGTAATAAAGCCTATTTGAGTAAATGAGTTCAAGAGTACCGAACGATTTTTTTAACAAATCATTCAAATGCAAATCAAATTTTAGGTCAGGGTCAAAAATAATTCCCAGGTTTTTAATGGAATTCACAACAGGTATAGGATGGTGTCATCAATTTTAATTATGAGATTTTGTGAGACAATAGCTTTATTCTTTTTATTACCGAAAAGCATCAAAAGTGACATTTATTCCTGTTCAATTTCAAATTGTGTTGCGTAGCTAGATGAGTAATGGTTTGTAAGTCAGAATTAATGAGACTTTGAATAGCTCCATAGATGTTGATGTTAAGGTTGGTATATAGTATTTGATACAGTCATTATTCTTTTATTCTAGATATTATTCATTATATTAGTCATTATTCTTTTTTAGAAATACGTTTTTCTCTCGATGACGTGATCAATAAGCTTAATATTTCTCATAACCCTATGAAAATATCATACGACACTGTTTTACCACTACCAAAACCAATTCTTTAACGCTGCGGTACGTGTTTCGCCATCTATGATAGCATCTTCAGGCTAGATATCCTATTCTATAGTGCGTAATTCTTCGATATCTCGAAATCAATTATCACAAGAGAAAAACTTTGGAGAAAAACTTTTTCAGTTACTAAAGTTGCTCATTTCGAAAATATTTCCAACAATACTGGGTGTTTTATGAAAGCGGGGCAACTTGAAGACGACTTTTTTCAAGTGGAACACCCACTATTGTTCATTCGAAATTTATTCCGCTCAAGTTGAGCTCTACATCGCTGTAAAAAAATTGAATTTGATTGCGGCGTTGCCAAGTTATAATTGATAAACCCATTTTTACTAATATTGAAGGGTCATGTTCAATTGGGTATGGTATATTTATTTATTGAAATTTCGAAAATATTTTTGGCATACAGTAGTAGCAAGGTCTCACGTATACCAATCCAGTAATCTTGCGAGATAATCCTCTACAGGGTGTTAAAATTTACATTCTGAATATTGTAAGATTCAGACGACGATCATAAGAATTTTTCAAATGGAACACCCTGTATTTTTCATCTCAGATTTATTTCGACATCATTCGTCTTTTCATCGCAGAAGAAAAAATCAGAATCGGTAGCGGCGTTTTCAAGTTATGAGTAATTTCCTCATTTTTACTACTATTTCGGGGTAATTTGTACGTCATGATGGTTCCTTTATTTGATTTGATTGTGGGAATATTGCTTGCCACATGACATTCGAGGTTCTACATAGATCATTCAGGTATTTTTGCAATACCTATGTGCATCGTCCAGAAATATTCCGTAATCTTGTTACTTATGATTCAAACAATATGTAAAACAAACAAACATGCCAAAACCAACGCCTGTCTTTGATACAACTTCTACAATACAAACAATGAAGATGCGGATTGCGAAAATCAGGACAATTTTTTTGAAATTTGGGCCATTTTTATTGTCGTCATTCCCACGATCCAAATCTCCATTCAACTTGTAGGAGGTAAACATAATGATACAAACAATATGTCTCTACTATACGCGGCTTTTGGGAGGGAATTCAGCAAAACTTCGAATCAATCCAAGATATATTTGATTGTGGCGATGTTTGACAGGTCATTACACAAATATAAGTGTATTTCGAAAAAAATTCAAACTTGGAGAGCCTGTTAATGTTCCTATTGAAAAAAAAAAAATATGAATGGTCAATGAACAAATTTGATTATACCGTAGCAACGCAATATTTCCACAATACAAATAAATGAAAGAACTATGACGTACAAATTACCCCGAAATAGTAGTAAAAATTAGGAAATTATCCATAACTTGACAACGCCGCAATCGATTTCGATTTTTTCTTCAGTGATAAAAAGGCGTAAGATGTCGGAATGAATTTTTGAATCAAAATACAAGGTGTTCCATTTGAAAAATTCTGATGAATGTCATCTGAATCTTGCAAAATTTTAAATGCAAAATTGAGCACCCTGTTGAAGAACATGTCGCAAAATTACTGGATTGGTATACGTGGGACCTTGATTTTGCCGCATGCCACAAATATTTTCAAAATTTGAATAAATGAATATACCATGCCCAATTCAACATGACTCTTCAATAATGGTAAAAATAGATTTATCCATCATAACTTGGCAACACCGTGACCGATTTCAATTTTTTTTGCAGCGATGTAAAGGTGCACCTCGGCGGGATTCATTCCGAATAAACAATACTGGGTGTTCCATTTAAAAAAACTCTTCTTCGAGTTGCCCTGCTTTTATAAAACACCCAGTAATGTTGAAAATATTTTTGAAATGAGCAACTTTAGTAACTGAAAAGGTTTTTTCCCCAAAGTTTTTCTCTATAGGTTATGGCTTTAGAGATATCGAAGAATTACGCACTAAATGGACACACTGTAGAATGATGTTTATATACAACGGTATGTTCACCTAACCACAAAAGACGCTATCCGCGCAGTCAATGTTTGTCATGATTGGGGTCGCGATCCAGACAGCACAAGACGTCTCAAATACGTCTTCAATACGTCGACGCAAAACGTTCGGGACGTCTTCAAGACGTCCAGTTACACCTCGAAGACGTCCATAAGACGTCTGTTGTTACAAAATGGGACGTCTTAAAGATAGCTTTAGACGTTTTTTGAATGTGGTTTCTGTCCAATATGGACCTCACTAGAACATGTCGTGGACATCAAAAGGGCTTTTATTTTCTTCTCTTTAGATTCTGGGTGATTTTAAATAAAAACAGGATATAGAATAGAAATATATTTATTAACTTTCTTATATTTTTATTTTCCTTGAATCATTTTCCATACCCCGTCCTTCTGAGGCATGACTGTATCATAGATTATGTGATCTTCCGCTCACTGAATGTTTGTGTCTGTTCAGTTGCCCCTAAAACGATCAAAAACAATGGCTGTACCAACTCATTGTATTGCATTTGTATTTAATTGAATGAATAGAAAAAAAATCATCCGGACTACCTCTATACCTGTCATTGCATCATTATTATTTAAAACATTATCATTTTGACTGCTTACAATAGAAATTACATCATTACAATTGGAATCGACATTCACCATGGGTGCAATCATTCGTACTACTCCCAGCCGCCATTATGGTGGTTGAACTCTCGACACCCGCACGCATGGGAAGTATATTAATTGTTTTGCTTTTTGGCACGCATAAAGTATGTTTGTCTCAATCACTCTCGATTAAAATATTCTTGGACAAGAAAGATATAATAATTTCATATAATATGCTGATCACGAATCCAGTTTCACGAAAAGGACAAAAACATAAGGGACTATATTAGATTCCAATATTAGGATTATCTGGCCTTTTTTCTTTCCATGAAAACTGTATGGTTTTGACTGAATATCTACATGGTATGTCACGACGAGCTTACACTTTCTTTATATCGAGAATCATTCCAAAGAAATCCATGAAAATGTGCATGCTTGTATTTTAGAATACGCTTTCTTCATATAAAATATTTTCGACAATGCAGTGTTGCTGAGGTTTTTCAACTTCAGGATATTTTTGTGTCAAAACTATTCATTATCGGTCAAAACGACTCACATGTCCCAATACCAACTTTTGATTCACTATTTACTGATATTTAATTGGAACAGATACAGGGCGGTTCAAGATTCAGAATTCTGATCACACTGTATCTGTTTCGATTAAATATTAGTAAATAGTAAATAAAAAAGTTGAGATAAGGACATGTGAGAGGTTTTGGCCGATGATGAATAGTTTCGACACAAACAATTCCTAAAGTTGAAAAATCTTGATTTTGAACACCCTATATCTCTGCAATCATTACCGATAGATAAATCGATGAAATCAGCTCTTCAGGGACGATTTAAAAATGTGATGAAATATAGGGTGTTCTGTTTGAAATATCAATGTTGCTACCATTTTCTAGTAGAAGCGGCAACACTGCATTGTCGAAAATATATTAAATAAACAGAGCGTATCCTAAAATATAAGCATGCATATTTTCATGGATTTTTTCCGACTGATTATCGATATAGAGATAGTGTAAGCTCGTCGTGACATACACCCTGTATTTAATTGTTATATTCAGATTTTTTAGTCGTGCAAAAACAATTTAGTACTCTGGGAGTTGTGATGGCGGGATAATGAACTAATGGCCTTGTATTTTAGATGAGGACACCCCAAGTCTGAAGGTATTTCAATACCTTTCTCCCAACTAAAACTAGTATTACTTCTTGTAACGTATTTTATCTTTCTAACAAAATAGGAGATTTTAGACAAAATGCATACAGTTGCTTATATTAACTTACAACGTTTGTGGTATTGAAGCTTCCTGATGGTTCTCGTCCTGGTGTTTGTTCTAGTCCTGTATTGTGGGTGCTGATGGTGCTTTTAATATCCACTATTGACCCCTTGATTGAGCACCCCTGGTTTAGGTCTCCTACAGATCTCTATAGATATAGGTATTTATATCTAACCATAATCGGTGGAATTTTCTATTACAGATAATTGGAGAGGAAAAACTACAGGCGAATTGTAAAGAAGTAGGAACCTATTTACTCTTAGCTTTATTGCATCTTAAATCGAAATTTCCCATAATTGGAGATGTAAGAGGCAAAGGTTTGATGATAGGAGTCGAACTGGTCGAAGATAGTAAAACTAGAAAACCACTGAATCCTGAAAAATTTTTGAAAATATGGGAACACTGCAGAGATCTTGGATTGATTATCGGAAAAGGAGGACTCTTCGGAAATGTAAGTACCAATGTGCCTAAATGTTACGAGTTACGACTATAGTCAAAATTGAAAGTCATTTCTTCGACACTCCACTGTTGATAATAGGAACAGAGATACACCTATTTATAACAGAGGTGACTCAGGACTCAAGGTAACCTCGTCGTGTTACTTTATTGTTATTTCATTGAATCAAATAATCAATTTCAGGTGTCAACGAAATCACTGGTCAGGGCGTCATTAATCTGTTTTTTATATCAAACTTTTGACATTTGGATCGAGGATATAGTTCTTTAAAACCCATATTTTCCATGAGAAACCAATTGGATATCACTTCCGGTTTTACCTGAAATTGATCTTTGTCGGGAATACTAAAATGGAACCCTGTAGATATTCTTACGCCTAGAATCAATATGGCGACACTATGACGTCATCGATCGAATTTCCATCAGGAACCTGATGAAATGGAAAATAGGCGTAGCACTTTGATTAGTTTTTGATAAAACATGCGAAAACGTTGATTTATCTGCACCTTACAACAGTGTTTCAACTTCTATACAGTGTCATTCATAAAGTTGGCATCATATATGGAGAGAGATGCTCCAATTGATTTAGGTTAGACACCTGTTCAAACATTTTTCGAAACGGAATGCATTTCTTCTCTGGTTTATTATTAGTATGCTAGTATTTTGATTCATAAATATTCATTTAGTCTTTATGTAGAAGTCCATGCTTTTCTTTAAGTGGAGTGTAATGATGAAAGGGCAAGAGAACATATAAAATCATCTCCGCAACGTTTAATAATCGAAAGATTATTCAGGGTACATGTTTCGGGCAGTCATGTGTCCATCAGCCTATAATCCTTACAAACCAAAGGTCCTATATAATATGATCACAAGTTAACCATGAAAAATATATGAAATAGAGAATTTACTCACGTGGGAATAAAGAAACATTATGAAAAAATCATGATCAAAATTTTGGTGCAAAGCACCGGTTAAAGGGTCAGGTTAATTGTAATGGGCCCTGTGCCCCTGTGAGATCATACATAATTGAGATTCAATGGCAAAACCCATTATTGCAAAAAAAACGAAAAATGGTGGAGTCAAATAATACTCAAAAAATGACAACCTCTATATCATCGGGTGATAGAGGACAAGTGGCGCTTTTAGCAATCCAGAAAACACAAGTTATATGATGACATACAAGACAGTGACAATGTCAACAGTCCGTAGATAAAAGAATGGTGGACGACCAGAAGCACCACATAAAATTTGATTGAACCTAAAAACAGGACAAAAACTGAAAAACAAAAATTGTTCTGAAATTGTTCTTATATCCATCATTTGGTTGCCCCCTTACGAGCAACCCTCAGGAGTCTTCAAGAGACTTGTGCGAGCAAGGAATGACGGGGGTCTTACCTTTTAACGTGTGACCCCAAACACTTTCTTAGGCCATCAGAAAAATTTCTGCGGTCGTGGTGGGAATCGAACCCACTACCGGTAATCCAACGTGGATAGAACATTGACGCTCTTACCACGAGGCTACGAGCTGGCCCATAAAATGATATTATTATATCAAAAAATAAAATATCATCTTGGATTTTGAAAAGCAAACCCAATATATAGTTATTAGTTTGACATATATTGCATATATTGCATGTATTGTATTATATTAGTTCGATATTAGTCCAGATATTAGTATATAAGACGATTCATTAGCGAATTCACTCATAGGTGAATTATCTGTTGAAAATGTGATTCAATAATGACGGGTGCACACACAAGCTTCTAAAGCTCATTTTGTACCTAAAAATGTATGTAAACCATATAACTGTTTATGGCTATTGAATAAATACAAATATAAATTGTTAAAATCTGAGAATTGAAAAATGTTTGGCAATCAAAATGGGCATGCTTATTAAGTGAGATGATATGAGAGTCCTTTCAGGGCTCGTTAATTTCGACAATTTCAAATAAGTTGAGAAGACCATCTTTCTGGCAAATATAGTAAGCTTCCAGGTCGTTGTTGAAATCAAAAGAATGTTGGTGATTGAGGATAACGTACTTTTTGGGTTATATTCATCAATGTGGGAGTTCACCGATTTTTCAATAATTTTAACATGTTCAAGAACTCTGGTATGAACCCGTCTATATCAGTCTCACCTATGCGTTGGGCATTACACTCTGAGCAAGAAGCAAAGCGAGATTTAGATTTTATGACTGGTGTTAAATTTTGGGTCAAAGATTTGAGGGAATGGTGTGGTGGTATAGTCTATCAATGGGGTGTTGGGGAAAACCATCGTTATGACCTATGTATTTTATAGTATTCAATTCAATTCAATTCAATATTGAACTGCTCAGGCAGATGCTGAGTAGTCTGTTGAAGAGGGAATGAAATGCTGCAAATTTGTGGGAAATAGGATAGCAAGAATAAGAAAATGGAATAACGTGATCAGTGTGTGTTGGTTTTCTGTAGATAGATAAATTGAAGGTTGAAGTGCCTTTTATTTATGAGATTTAATACATCGAAAGACCATGAAATTGCGTTGGGGGAATATTACAATTCTTGATTATTGGTGAGGTTTACAGAGTTTTTAGGTCTCTAATCGAAGCGTATTCTTCCATGAAGCCATCTCTATAGCACAGAAAATATTGATAAAACAAGAAATCAAGAGACACTATGTTAGGATGGCAGATATTAACAACAAATTGAATTGGCTCTACATCATACTTATGTGCTACACAATACTGAACTGGATGATCTGTTTTCTTCTGTCATGAATTGTGTGAAGTATTCAACACAGACAACAAGATGAACCGAACTGTTTTAGTTTCAACTACCACAGTACTGTAAATTCACAAAAAACATACAACCATTTTTCCGATCATAAGTGTAATTCTAGGGTACTGAACCTTTCTGCTTGTGAATTTTCCAAAAATGAACACTTAAAAATTCTAGCAATAGAAAGTGAACGTGTCTTTGAACAGAACAATTTTCCTAATAAAGACTAGTTGAAATTTCCAGATCCTTGAATAACAATTTGTGTCTACCACTTGGCATATTGAAATTCAACCCATCAGATATCTTATGCTGTAAAAATATTTCCAAAAAAATTTCTGATAACAACCTTGTTGTAACCAAAGGCGATAAAGGCAATTGCCTAGTAATTTTGAATATATCAATATATATGTTGTCAAAGTCAACGACTTCTTACTTTCTGATGATTTTTCCAAATTATCTGTTGATCCCACTCTAAAAATTTTTAATAATGTAGAAACCATCCTCAACTTGTGTATTGATACTATCACTTATTATAAGTGTTCCAAATTGAAGTTGACACATATGAATCTTTCTATGGCCTAAGATACACAAAGATAACATCCCCATCAGATCTGTTGTCTGGTACTGTCATTCTCCTTTCTCTAAGCTTGCCTCATGGTTAAACGCGTTAATTAAAGACCTTACAGATTTTCATAACCATTTCTCTATTAAAAACTCTTGAAACCATGAAATGGAACGTCTTCGGTGTTGAATGGGGTTGGAAAAATAATTCGGAATTAGAGGCGGAGATTTGGCTTTTATTATTCAATGGCAGTGGTGGGGAAAACTGTTCAGTATCACCTTCGTCTGAAATGACATAACACACTGTAGTATACCCTATCGTACAGAATGAAATGATTTTCGGTGTTCATAGTAAAAAGGTAGTGGTGCCGAAAATCATCATACTCTCAACAATTAAATTTGAAAATTTGACAGTTATCAAATGCATTGAATATGATACAAAATCAATGATCACTATGATTTCCTTACCTGAAATGACATAATACCAGGTAAAAATCACAATAAATTGTATGAACAAGAATTAGCGATCTAAAATACCAACAGGGTCGTTGCTACTTAATCAAATACCTAAAATGAACTATGCCTGTATTCGAAAAGAATGAGTACCGCATTGATTTTCTGAAACATAAAAACTTGACCCTAAATATAGAGAGATCGTACATACATACTAGACTGATATTTTTAAACACAAAACTATAGGCAACTTATGTTACACATAAAGTGTGCCGTTGGTGACTTCACTCTGTTGACCTTACCAATAAAATCAAAAATTTTAATATTCCCCCCAACGCTATTTTATTGTCATTCGATGTAGTAAATTTCTTTCCCAGTGTCCCCCCAGAGGATTATATTTATGTATCCTCACTCACCAACAGAATATTGTGTTCTATTTGATCATACTTTTTCAGTACAACTTTCCGGTTTGACCATGGGTAGTAACCTTTTCCCTCTTCTAGCAGAATTTTTTTCTACAAGACTTGAAGGATTTTCATTTGTTTCGGAAGATTTGCTTTCGGTATTCACGATAGCTAACGTCATCATGTGACGTTGTGATGACATAAAAACTACGGGAAAACATGTCTAACTTTCAATCTAAGCCAGGAGTTAGGAATGTTTTCATGTCATCGAAACGACTGATAATGATCTTGGCTACCTCGTATAGATATGTCGATGTCAATCTTCTTCGGGAATTTTTGACCCTTTCTCAACATACTCATAAATATAGACAATTCAACCTTCAATTTTTCTATATGCAGAAAACCATTTTCTTCTTGCCATCCTATTTCCCACTAAGTTGCTGTTTTTCATTCACTCCTCAACAGACTTTTCAGCATCCCCATGAACCAGAGTTCTTGAACATGTGCAAAATGATTGAAGAATCGGTGAACCCCCACATTGATGAATATAACACATGAAGTTCGTTTGCACAAAATATCCCCAATTACCAACATTATTTTGGTATCAACAACGACCTGAAAATTTTATATATTTGTCAGAAAGGTGGTCTTTTCAACCTATTAGATAATTTTCGAAATAAGCGCGTCCTTGAAGAACTCTAATATTATCTTACATATTGAGCAAACTCATTTTTATTGCCAAACATTTTTCAATTCTCTGATTTTTCATTGAACAATTTATATAATAATATTTTTTTTGTCTTTCAGTGTTGATAGTTTCTCTCCTGCTTTGGTCTCTATATACTAGCCGCCTTTTACGTTTAATAAACAAATTATGTACCTATCCTACCTACCTGATGATATAGGTTATCAGTTCTTAGTATTATTTGACTCCACCGTTTTTCGTATTTTCCAATAAACGGTTTTCATGATTTTTTTATAATGTTCTTTCATTTATGATTTTGTATTTTATAACTCTTTCATATATATTATGGTATATATATCTAAATTACCTACTTTGTTTTCGAAATTAAGGCGGCAATAATCAATTATCAACCCGAAACAATAACATAGGTATCTATACGTGTTATGTATTTAAGTTTGAATACAATAAATGCTAAACTCAGACCAAAAATATTTATTGAAAAACATAATTTTGCAGATATTACACAGAGGTAGTATCAAGAAGGACACGCAGGACTATATTCTGTCAGTATATATGAAAAGTGATCAAAACCTGTGAATTGAATCTTCCAACTGACTATAGAGTCATAGTAATCAAATTTACTGACCTACAATACGATTCCTACCAATTACCATCGAAGGTTGTTCGAACTGATGATTATTTGTAGAAAACGCGGTGTGGGAAATTGGTAAATCTACACGAAGACAGGTTTTAGAATAAAGATTCCTATAAATCTGGAATGAAATTTTTGATGGAATGACATCATGAATAATCACTTTCCGTTCACCACGTTTTCTCATCAGGACAATATCATATACGAATATTAAGTTGTACCAACCTTGTAAGCACCTATTTATGACAATCCTTGAGAGGGAATCAATGGGTAGTAGTTCAAATTCCACCTATTCTTCGAACGACTTTTTTAAATTGTTGTTTTTTTTATTCATAGGTCATCAGAATAAAACCACCGATGTGTGTTACAAAAGAAGACGCAGATTTCACCGTTGATGTCATAGAACATGCTCTGATTAGACAGGGTTAATAAGGAAGAAATACGCAACCGTTTCAAATTTGTTCCTCAAGGTATATATACTTAACATCTTTATGACTCATAAATCAGAAGTTGAATGAATAAAATCGATTATATGCAAGTAGGTGTATAAAGGATAGTGCACTATGGAATTATACTCCTTGGCGTCAGATATTTCAAAAGCATTTGACCATGTCATAAAAATAGTATTCACAAACTCCCATCATAGTAGCCTCCATGTGGTGGTGCAGAAAGGACCACAAAGATGCATTTTCATACCAACACTTGTTCCTACACCATATGAATAATCTGTTGAGAGTAAGCATTTGTTCTATCTGCAGTTTTGCAAATGACAGTATTAACCTTTTAGTTTCCTGGGATGGAATGAGCATTGTAGAAGAGAATTTATCTTCTAGAATTCTCAATCCATCCCAGGGAATTATTGAAACTCAGAACGAAGGCAGGTCAACGCTGGTTGAATTTAACGCAACCGAAATTCAAGTTTTACTTTAAAAACAAAAGTGCAACTCAGTATGCCTGATATAAACAATGTCTGGTACAACCATTACCACAAAGTCCACAATGTCTAAGCTCGCGGTATCTCCATCAGTTATATCCTTTCATGAGAAAATCATGTCAGATCCATGCTCTTCACAGATTTGGATTTTCACTTGCGGAAATAAACTCTACACTTCAACAGCTTCTTTTGATCTACAAAGCCCAAATCCGGTCTGTTTCAGAATACAGTTCCCACATAGGTTCTCCACCGAACATTTTAATATGTGACATTAATTGCCTAATATATTTTCCCCATACTTGACATCAGTGGCCCAGTATAAATGGTTCCATATGCGGGACTCTGTATATCAGTACAGAGCGGCCGGCAGCTGGTCCCAGTGCTGGGTACCCAGCAATCATATTCAGTTACTAGGCAAAAGACCACTACTACATAATCGACACATTAAGTTTTCCATAGCAAGCCTAGCTCATACATACTATCGAGGTAGGGGGGGGGGGGGTTTAGGGGTCCAATGGATCTGAGAGTTCAAGTAACTCTATATTTTTTAATGGAACCCTCTCATCATATATGATATATCAAACAGACGCATACCAGATTTCAAGGAAAAATGTATGAATGACACAATATGATAATAATTGTTAACCTCTCTCTTATTCCATGATGAAACTTCTCAGAGTGATTGCTTACCGGCTTATATCTACATCTTATTTGAGTAGCATTCCTTCAAAGGGGAGTCAGTTATCAGTGGCCTTCCTTGATATCAGAATTCTTCCTCCATAGGAGTTTGAGAAACGAAATACTGTTGCATGAGTTTATTACTCGATCTATACCGGGTGTCAACGAATCTATTAGACAAGTCATAACTTCTAGACCATTAGGTGCATCGAAATGATTTTTGGTATAGGTAAATGGTATGTGAAGAGGAGAGTTTTCACATATTTTTCATTTTCTGGTCATTTTCAGTTTCACCGGAAATGGCTCCAGTTTTAAATTTTTAAATGGAACACATTGTAAAATTTTTGGATTTCTGAAACAATTCTAGATCAGAATGTGACATTTTCGAAAGTTTTTATGCTTACTTAATTTTTTTGGATTCACTTTCGAAATTACATCCAGGTGGCCATGATCGGAAGTAAACTAATCTAAGGACCTCAGGTGATATCAGAAAATTACAATCGCGAAGTTTTAGTGAGAAGTATGATCGATATATATATAAGACAAGTTGGCAAAATTACATTTTCGTGTCTAACTATTATGTTCCAAATGGCGACCATTTTCTGACAAGCACTTTCCGAAAAAAGGATATTTTGATGAATCTAGCGATACTAATTTATTTGCGATTGGATCAACAAATTTGTTGTTGATTTTGTTGGGCCCAGTACCGAGAATTTTTCTTATTAAACAATCCATTATTTGTAAATCATGATTCATCGAAAAATAGAATGAAGTTGATAAAATTTGGGTTAACACTATGATTTTGAAGCAACCAATCACGAAACACTACTTGTCTCTTAAAGAAACCGTTTTGTCAACCTCAACCGTAGCAAGAACGTCAATCTCAGTCTCCTCATTTATGTTAAACCTCTGTTCTGCCACTCGATTTCCGTCTTGCCTAAAACGATTCTCAACATACGGAAAATATTGATGGGATGGATGTTGCCGATTGGTATATCTCTGAGCATACAACTCAGCAGCACCTTTTCACTTCGAGTATACATTATTTTGACGAAAAATTTAACTAAAATTTAACGAAAATGAACAAAATTTTACCTTCTGCTCTTGAAGCTTATGTCATTAGTCACTGTCATAACCTGTGTGAGTGTTTTGTTCTCCCAAGAAGACTTGATCGAAATAACTGCAAAATATTATGCATCATGCCTATCCTCGGCACACTTGACAAAAGTAAATAAATTATTATGAAGTATTCTCGTCAGTAATATTCAATTTATGTTCTTATTTGTAATCCAATCGCAAATAAATTAGTATCGTTAGATTCGTCAAAATATCCTTTTTTTCGGAAAGTGCTTGTCAAAAAATGGTCGCTATCTGAAAAATAATAGTTAGACACGAAAATGTAATTTTGCCAACTTGTCTTATTCATATCTATCATACTATCATACTTGTCACTAAAACTTCGCGATTGTACTTTCCTGATATCACCTGAGGTCCTTAGATTAGTTTACTTCCGATCATGGCCACCTGGATGTAATTTCAAAAGTGACTCCGAAAAAATTTAGTAGGCATAAAAACTTCCGAAAATGTCACATTCTGATTTAGAATTGTCTCAGAAATCCAAAAATGTTACAATATACAGGGTGTTCCATTCAAAAATTTAGAACCGGAGGCATTTCCAGTGAAACCGGAAGGGACCGGTAAGTCAAAAATATGTGAAAACTCTCCTCTTCACATATCATTCACCTACACCTTATCTCATTTTGATACACCTTATGGCCTAGAAGTTATGACTTGTCTAATAGATTCGTTGACACCCGGTATAGTCTGATAACGTGATAACATAATGGAGCTTTTCAATTCTAATTATTTTTTTGGCACATGCATTTTCTAGTTGGAACCTTATTGTTATTCACTTCTACAAATAGAGACAGATTTACATAACCTGAGATTACTTTTGATAGCAAAACGAACGAGTTAAACATGATGTTATGATATTATGATCACTATAGGCATATGAGATTGAAACAATTCGTTTTTCGAAGAAAATTAGAGAGCGAGAAAAGACTCTGAATTGAACGAACCACCCAATTTGGTAACTAGAAGATGTCATAGACGTACTACGAAAGAGTTTGGGACGGATAAATAAGTCTCCACCCATAAAAATTCATAACCCAATGGATATTAAGACAATTTGAAATGCTTGAAATGATGACATTTCAGGAAGTATTAATCACATCAAATTTCAAATTGATATCTCCAAAATTGAGCGAGATATTTTAATTGATAAAAGAATAATTGAATTCCTATCCCCCTGTATTTCCTTCACTGATCGAGATCGGACTACTATTTATACCAACTTTTTTGATTAAAATCAAGAAATCTATCACCCATTTCAGTTCGTACCTTGAAATCTGAAATACCCTGTATAACGTGTAAATTATTTATGAATAGATGTATGTATATGTGTCGATGGTAAGTCAAGGATATGTATTAAATATAGAAGTATAATACGTAATTTGATTACCTAACCTCATTTTTTCTGGCTGATGCCATTACATCTTCTTCTAGTTCAGACGTTGTGATATTGGTAGTGGTACCTCTGGAAAAAAGTATGTACAGTCATCTTCAGAAAACATGTCGCACATGGACGATGATAGCATTCTTAATAACTCCTGCAATGAGAGCGCTGACACCGTCCAACCGCGACATGATCTCTGAAGACGACTGTACACCTATTAATATTATTATGTTGTTGCTGTCGTGTTGGACTCCAACTGTTTTGAATATCGTGTCGAGTTCTGTACTGTATAAAGATGAACTTCCTGATGGTGATCAGTTAATCAAAATGTTCGTCATTTAGCTGAGAGCCCTGTCAACCATCTCATTATAGGTATGTTGGTAATGTTCGTTTTTATTCCTGTAAATTATTCAACCCGTTTTTTTTTTATAATGAGGCTCGTTGAACAACAACAACAACACCCATTTCCATTTTTATACATCATTTGATAGAATTCTGGAGATTTTTCCATGAGAAACATTGTGTGGGAGCCCTGCCAGAATCTTCCTCTGCTGTCGATAGCTGCTCTAGAGCCTGATGATATCAAACACTTATATCCACATCAGGGTCCTATCCACACGAGAAATTAATTGGATTTCGTGAATAATCAATTTGACAACAGCAAATGACCGTTGTTGTCAACTCACTATCCGCGAGGACCAGTGTTGCCAGTTCGATTTTCATTTCATCAGTTATAATATCTTGTCAAAAAGTCTGATCTATGGTATGCTATAAAAATTTCAAGAAAGGATAATGAAATAAACCCAGGACGTCAGTAAACAGCAAAGTAACATAATTTCCAACAAATTAGAAACTAACAAAACAAACATTCTCATGAAAAACATAATCATACATCTCAATTTGAAAATACTCACAAATATCACAATATACATTTACAAAAGTTACAAAAATGAACAACAAAAATACAAAACACATGAAATATTGAACGTGAGAAAAAAAAATGTTGTAACAGAATAAGAATACAGTCTGTCCAAGATAAGGTTGAACAGCATGGGGATCTCGAAAACGGTAAGAGATACGAAATCGGTTAAATGGGGAAAAAGTTGCGCATTCGGAGGCTCATATCAAGAGCCTTCGAAAATTTTGAAAATTATTTTTAGTTTTTGAGTTATATCGAAAAAAGTGAATTTTTGGAATTTCTATTTTATTTTTTTTCTCCGTTATTATTAGAGATACAGCAAATTTGAGAATACTTTTTCATAGCAACTTTTGATGACGGTCAACGTGGTGATACTGATTTTTTCATGCGACGTTTCGTATTCGTGGAACCATCATCATTT